AAGTAAGTAAGTAAGTAAGTAAGTAAGTAAGTAAGTAAGTAAGTAAGTAAGTAAGTAAGTAAGTAAGTAAGTAAGTAAGTAAGTAAGTAAGTAAGTAAGTAAGTAAGTAAGTAAGTAAGTAAGTAAGTAAGTAAGTAAGTAAGTAAGTAAGTCAGTAAGTAAGTAAGTAAGTAAGTAAGTAAGTAAGTAAGTAAGTAAGTAAGTAAGTAAGTAAGTAAGTAAGTAAGTAAGTAAGTAAGTAAGTAAGTAAGTAAGTAAGTAAGTAAGTAAGTAGTAAGTAAGTAAGTAAGTAAGTAAGTAAGTAAGTAAGTAAGTAAGTAAGTAAGTAAGTAAGTAAGTAAGTAAGTAAGTAAGTAAGTAAGTAAGTAAGTAAGTAAGTAAGTAAGTAAGTAAGTAAGTAAGTAAGTAAGTAAGTAAGTAAGTAAGTAAGTAAGTAAGTAAGTAAGTAAGTAAGTAAGTAAGTAAGTAAGTAAGTAAGTAAGTAAGTAAGTAAGTAAGTAAGTAAGTAAGTAAGTAAGTAAGTAAGTAAGTAAGTAAGTAAGTAAGTAAGTAAGTAAGTAAGTAAGTAAGTAAGTAAGTAAGTAAGTAAGTAAGTAAGTAAGTAAGTAAGTAAGTAAGTAAGTAAGTAAGTAAGTAAGTAAGTAAGTAAGTAAGTAAGTAAGTAAGTAAGTAAGTAAGTAAGTAAGTAAGTAAGTAAGTAAGTAAGTAAGTAAGTAAGTAAGTAAGTAAGTAAGTAAGTAAGTAAGTAAGTAAGTAAGTAAGTAAGTAAGTAAGTAAGTAAGTAAGTAAGTAAGTAAGTAAGTAAGTAAGTAAGTAAGTAAGTAAGTAAGTAAGTAAGTAAGTAAGTAAGTAAGTAAGTAAGTAAGTAAGTAAGTAAGTAAGTAAGTAAGTAAGTAAGTAAGTAAGTAAGTAAGTAAGTAAGTAAGTAAGTAAGTAAGTAAGTAAGTAAGTAAGTAAGTAAGTAAGTAAGTAAGTAAGTAAGTAAGTAAGTAAGTAAGTAAGTAAGTAAGTAAGTAAGTAAGTAAGTAAGTAAGTAAGTAAGTAAGTAAGTAAGTAAGTAAGTAAGTAAGTAAGTAAGTAAGTAAGTAAGTAAGTAAGTAAGTAAGTAAGTAAGTAAGTAAGTAAGTAAGTAAGTAAGTAAGTAAGTAAGTAAGTAAGTAAGTAAGTAAGTAAGTAAGTAAGTAAGTAAGTAAGTAAGTAAGTAAGTAAGTAAGTAAGTAAGTAAGTAAGTAAGTAAGTAAGTAAGTAAGTAAGTAAGTAAGTAAGTAAGTAAGTAAGTAAGTAAGTAAGTAAGTAAGTAAGTAAGTAAGTAAGTAAGTAAGTAAGTAAGTAAGTAAGTAAGTAAGTAAGTAAGTAAGTAAGTAAGTAAGTAAGTAAGTAAGTAAGTAAGTAAGTAAGTAAGTAAGTAAGTAAGTAAGTAAGTAAGTAAGTAAGTAAGTAAGTAAGTAAGTAAGTAAGTAAGTAAGTAAGTAAGTAAGTAAGTAAGTAAGTAAGTAAGTAAGTAAGTAAGTAAGTAAGTAAGTAAGTAAGTAAGTAAGTAAGTAAGTAAGTAAGTAAGTAAGTAAGTAAGTAAGTAAGTAAGTAAGTAAGTAAGTAAGTAAGTAAGTAAGTAAGTAAGTAAGTAAGTAAGTAAGTAAGTAAGTAAGTAAGTAAGTAAGTAAGTAAGTAAGTAAGTAAGTAAGTAAGTAAGTAAGTAAGTAAGTAAGTAAGTAAGTAAGTAAGTAAGTAAGTAAGTAAGTAAGTAAGTAAGTAAGTAAGTAAGTAAGTAAGTAAGTAAGTAAGTAAGTAAGTAAGTAAGTAAGTAAGTAAGTAAGTAAGTAAGTAAGTAAGTAAGTAAGTAAGTAAGTAAGTAAGTAAGTAAGTAAGTAAGTAAGTAAGTAAGTAAGTAAGTAAGTAAGTAAGTAAGTAAGTAAGTAAGTAAGTAAGTAAGTAAGTAAGTAAGTAAGTAAGTAAGTAAGTAAGTAAGTAAGTAAGTAAGTAAGTAAGTAAGTAAGTAAGTAAGTAAGTAAGTAAGTAAGTAAGTAAGTTAAGTACGTAATGTGGAAGTAAGTAAGTAAGTAAGTAAGTAAGTAAGTAAGTAAGTAAGTAAGTAAGTAAGTAAGTAAGTAAGTAAGTAAGTAAGTAAGTAAGTAAGTAAGTAAGTAAGTAAGTAAGTAAGTAAGTAAGTAAGTAAGTAAGTAAGTAAGTAAGTAAGTAAGTAAGTAAGTAAGTAAGTAAGTAAGTAAGTAAGTAAGTAAGTAAGTAAGTAAGTAAGTAAGTAAGTAAGTAATAGTATATATTGATCATTAGGTTAATTTATCATCAGTTCGATTTCAAGATGAAATAAGTTGTAAATAAATATAAGTAAGAGAAATATTGAAAACCGAGGGATACTACAGACGAATTTGTCATTCTATTTTCTAACACACTATCCATCTATATCTTATCACATATACTTGTTATTCAAGATTGATTCGAAAACTTTCATTCATCATATGATGACAGTATATCATTATTGTAATCGTCTAAGAAAGTTGTACGCTCATTTGAGATTCCTACGAGAATTTTTGTTTTATGCAATTGAATAACAAGAAAAAAAAGGATTTTTGTAAAGTTCATTCTACGGACTGAAATACATTTTGTGTTACTACACAGTACTAAGTAAATTCATAAAAGTACCCTAAAACTTAATTATAAAAACATGCAAAATAATGCTTTCTCATCAGGTCTTTTTTCTGTTCGAATTCATTGTTCATTGTATCCATTGTATTCGAATGCCCTGGTACGATTAAGGGTGTGGAGGGACCCCAAGACCCTCAGGAAACAAAAGGTGTATGAACCAATTATTGGTGATCGGCTACTACAATACTGTATCTACTGACGTTGCTCCACTGCCTTGTGGATAAGAGCTTTAGTTCGAAGGCTACAGGTGTAATCTCCTAGGTATACCATCTGCTTCGTTCTGGGCGCCTGGGCAGTATTATAACCCACACATAGATATTGGTACAAGAAGGCAACAAATACATATGCACCACACAAATCTCATTTGATATGGGTGAGGGCTGTGATACTGCCCGGGTGCCCACATTGAAGCAGGTGGTTTTTTTAGGGGGCCACTCCCCGAGCCTTAGACCTGAAGGTCTGATCCATAAGGCAATGGAGCATCGTAAGGAGATGCAGTCCCATGGTAGCCAGTGATCAACGATTGGTTCATACGTCATTTGTTCCTTCAGGATACTAGAGCCCATGTGCACCATTGGTTTAGAATCAGTGTTTTCCAACTCCCCCAGATGGATTCTCTGTGTCTATCAACCCGGTTAAAGCACCTGACGGACATTCGCTTTCCGTTCTCGGAATTTCGTAAACAACACCCCGGCCAAGAGAAGGTACTAAGTAGGACTCACTTATAACCCACACACAAATCAAATGACTTGTGTGGCGCATATGTATTCGGTGCCCCTTGGTACCAATATTTACATGTTCAAATAAATAAATCCATTACGTAGCACATCCACACAAAAAACACATCGGAATTTATTCAATAAACAATCTAAAGTTTCATTTTAAAAATAATCAAAATGAAAACAAATAAACTAGAAATTAAAAAAAGATGGATAGTGGCTAATAGTGAGATCCAGGATGCGCGACACTTCGTCTTATTTGGGACTCATCAGCTAGATGCACCTGGAACCTACTACCGTTCACTTCAAATGCCATAACTTTATCCGTTAAGCTAATGAGTGCTGATAGCCATCTGCTTGTGCAATAGAGTGAAGTTTAAATTCACTTGATATTGTTTACTTCAATGTTCTTATTGTTATTTAGGACTGCAATAGATCATTCTCTTATTGGTATATATCCATACTACGCGTACTGCCTCAATATTATCTTAATTCACAAGCCTTTATAATCAAAGATGGATAGTAGCTAACAGTGGAGTCCAGGACGCGTGACACTTCATTCTATTTCGAACTCGTCAGTTGGATATATCTTTATCTCAGAGTTGATGTTCATTCTAGCATTCGAACCCACTCTTGTTCACTTCAAAAATCATCATGTTGGGAGGCAAAATCTGACTCACAGGTCCGCGTCATACTTCCTGGATAATGAGACGAATGACTCATGAACTAACGTGAGCGATAACTCGGGTGGTGGAGATCGAGCTAATTACCCACTCTTACTTATACCCACCAACTGATTACGAACTTCACAGATAAACATAGCACAATTATCTACTTAACTACTAAACTATTTTTTATACAATCGGGTGAATTGAAACTAGAAAATATTTTTACCATAGAACAAACAAAAAAAAACATTTTTTTTTCTCATTAAATACATAACAAATTGCTTACATTTCTCATTGTATACTGTAATTGAATACAGTGTAAAATACTACTAATAATATAAATAATCAGTATTATAAATCATATAAATCACTTATGTTACATAAATCATAATTGGTGTTTGAATCAACGCCCTAATTCTTGATTGGTTCACATGGTATCGATTTATTGTTGTTGTTGCTAGTGATGGTGGTGGTGGTGGTGATGGTGTTATATTATGATGGATTATTCTAACGTCATAACAGTATCTGAGGCATCAAATGAATAGTCAATGATACATTTCTAAAGTATATTCATCATAGAAATATAGTTGCCAAGGGAAAATATTCTTTTAAAAAATACATGCATCACTTCAATTGTTCCATCAAATAGATTATAGAGAAATGATTCAATAAGCTTAGGAGTAAGAAAATGGTATTCAAATATTGAAATAGATATATACATGTACAGATGTATTGGAATGTTAATAAGAATAAAGCGTATGTATGTATGTATGTGAATGTTTGAGTATCTGTATTGTTCCAATCAATTCTTTAATTAACATCAAAGTGTAAATGTTAAGTTAACAACACTTCTATATACATAGTAGATCAATCCTGTAGATGATACAATTCAATGATTGTTTTTTCTTAGTAAACTTTGAATATACTATTTTAGTATTTTGTTATTGAAAGTAAGATTAACCAATACCATTGTATTGTAGATATATCTAGATGATAAGGTATTAGTAAGACATAGTTACTTACGCCTGTTACTCCTAATGGAGCATAGGTTGCCGGCTAGCATTCTCCAACCCACTCTATCCTCGACCCTCCTTCCTAGTTCTATCCAATTATTGTTCATTCTTCTCATGTCTATCTCCATTTCCCGGCGTAATATGTTCTTTGGTCTTCCTCTCCTCCTTTAGTCTTGAGGATTCCAAGTGAGGGTTTATCTTGTGACGCAATTGGGTGCTTTCCTCAATGTGTGTCCTATCCACTTCCAGAGCTTCTTCCTGATTTCTTCCTCCACTGGAATCTGGTTTGTTCTCTCCCACAGTAGGTTAATGCTGATAGTGTTTGGTCAATGGATCCGAAGTATTTTGCGTAGACAGTTGTTAATAAACAACTATGTCTTCTGGATGATGGCTTTCGTAGTTCTTCAGGTTTCTGCCCCATACAGTAGAACTGTCTTGACATTTATATTGGAAATTCTGACTTTGGTGTTGGTTGATAGACAGTTGTTTTGAGTTCCAGATGTTCTTCAGTTGAAGATCTACTAATATTAGTAAATAATAACTTGAACAAAGTTATGGATATAGGCTTTGTGCTTGAGTTTCGTGCTAGTGGGCGTTTATCCATAACATGTATGTTCAGTCTTCAGGGAACTAATACTTTCGGTAGGATTCAAGCTGATGTCACTGTCAGAGATATTATCACTCGATCATTTGAATTGTAACTGAGCTCCTAAGAGACGAAGATATTAACACTGACTAATCACAAAGTTGTGACCGATATACAGGTAATTCATTTAGGCCAACTAGAGAATAGTAAGAATAAACGCAATACATTCGAGGTCCGAAGGAGAAGTCATACTGCAAACTGTATGGACGTATGACGAGTGTAAGGCACCTTTCACAAACGACCAGTATCTAGAGAGTTCTGCCTTTCCGCGATCGGTGAAGGGATTAGAGGATTCTGACACGGAAAATAACATATCTCCCCCTCCTTACAGATTTACTGTATATGCAGCAGAGTCGAACGTAGTGAGGCACACATTAAAAACTACTTGCAAAAATATCGTGTGTGACTGACCACAAGCGGTTGTTTCTCAGGTTATGCAGTCATGCTCCTAGATTGCCATGTCCACACCCGACATTATTTTTTTCTCAGGTACCTTCAGTAGAAATATCCTTCCGGGATATCAGTAATTATAGAGGAACAACCATCCTAATACCTCTAACAACACTCGAAGTCACTTAAGTAGGTCACAATCGACATAATCTTGGTCAAGTAAATCAACAATGGGATTATTTATTTATTTATTATAACACATAGATATTGGTACAAGGAGGCACCAAATACATATACTCCACACAAATCTCATTTGATATGGGCGAGGGCTGTGATACTGCCCGGGTGCCGAAACTGAAGCAGGTGGTTTTCTTAGGGGACCACACCCGGAGCCTTCGACCTGAAGGTCTGATCCATAAGGCAGTGGGGCAACATCAGGAGATGCAGTCCCATGGTAGCCGTTGATCAACGATTGGTTCATACGCCATTTGTTCCTTCAGGATACTGGAGCCCATGTGCACCATTGGTTTAGAATCAGGGTTTTCCAACTGCTCTAGGTGGATCCTCCATGTCCACCAAAGCCGCTTGAGGCGCCGAACATTCGCTTTTCACCCTCTGAATTTCGTAAACAACATCCGTGAGCTTAAAAATATAAATTGTACTGATTCTCAATTTTAAATCAAATTAATTGTCGAATCCATGTTTTACTTCATCATGAGTTCTGTTGGAAAGCCACTAGAAGTCAGAGAGTATTGAACAGGCATTTCATTTTTATATGAGACTTCTACATACAAAGTATCTATGACTACATGGATGATATCGAACCAAAAAATTTCAAGTTTCTATGTGAGCACAGTGAACAATGGAGAATTGTAACAAACATCATCTGAAAAGTGTAGGTAGTTATAAACGGCTATTCGCGCAAGAAACTCCAGATATATTGAACGGACACCATCAAAGAAACCTACTGCGAAAGAGAGAAAATCAGCGTCCATTTAGAAAGGAAATTAAGAAAATATGCTGGAAGTAGACAGGTCAACCTTTACAAAGATCATCAAACTGCATCACGAAACAAGCATAAACATGGAATCCTCAAGGCAAAAAGAAAGGAGACAATGAGAAGAATGCATTATGTCAAAAACTGGAGGCACGCATCGATACAACAAATAGCACTTGGCAATAACTTGAAAGCAGATCACATGTCAGTTAGTTAGTTGGAGAACTCGTTGTAATAGTTCGATATCATTCCCTAAAACCATTCAAACTGAAATATCCTTTGAAAAGAATATTCAGAAATTAGGTACAAACTTGTTTAGTAAACGTTTAACTACACATTTTTTTTGTAAAAGTTACTATCAGTGTAGTGAATAAGTACTATGTCAAGCTTATACACATTACTCTACCTTCTGGACAGATCAATTTATTCATCATTTTTCTCAAGCTACATTTGACATTGTCAGTCATTCGCTTATTCACTCTGACTGCTTTGATATGATCGTGTGTTAATTGCTTACCTTATTTCATAGAGTGTTTGTAATTTATTTATGATCTGACTATAAATATTGAGTTACGCTTGGTTAAATCGAGTGAGCTCATTTGCTTTGTTTCTCTGATTGTCTGTTTGGATCAATGAACGTATAAGGTATACATATTCAAAATTCATTTATATATTTGTCTTATTTTATTCCATTATACTCTAACTCAAATTGAGTCGATAAAAAGATAGGAGGGTTAACTGCATGTATCAGTCAGTCAACAACAACGTGTAGAACTTCGCACGAACGTACATCAGTTCAAGTTGCCACACCACATTACCACAGAGATACAGTTGTCGATTCAAATCTCATAGTGGTAAAGGTAGTAAGAGTATAAGCAGTAATCGGAAACACAAGGGTTTAAAGATGTTTTTCAAGGAGTACACCTGTGCACACCATTGCAAATAATTTTGAGCCATGTCATTCAAGGTCTCTAACCATCGGTTGCTATTGTCTCGCGGATCCCAACCAGGTAGTCTACACCTACCAACATGGCTCAGTCCACTTGTCAGTTACTTCATGGATTTGTGCCATGTTTTGGTCTGGCCATCCCTAGAAGTTGCATGCATATTTCGATATCAATCATCATACGATATAACTGGAGTTAGATGCAAGGCCATTTAGGTAGTATTCAAATGATAAACTCACGTAAATGGGACAGGGTTTTAAAATAAGAAACAATATTTCAGAATTAAGTACATCAAACACTAAGTCAATACATCATCATCACAATTATTAAATTTAATGCATTAGGTTATAGCAGCTCACGGGCAATTGAGTTTGTTCACATTTAATTTGGTTAAGCTCCTTTGTTGACTTATTTAACGAACAGAGTCATTCGTACAATAACAACTTATCTTATATCATTGTACCTTTATTATTGTTGCACTTGTATGAATATCTATGCATGAGCATTTTGATGAAGAACCAATCAACATTGAGGTGTATAGGATAAGCTATGAACCACATGTGGAGAAATTCAAACACTTCACTTCTACTTGAAGTTTGTGTTGATGATGTTCAGAAAAACGATGAATGCTCCACGACCAAACCATCCAGCTCAGAGAATAAAACTCCACCAAAATCATCTACCTGAGCTACAAATCTTCTTCATCATGCATGAGTCCTGTTTACTACCTACGCATATATGCATTCTGTTAGCCTTACTGTTAATTGCTTAGTTGATCTGATGATTCATGCATTTCCCCATGTATATACATATACATTTAATCCTGTTCATTGACTCGCACGCTTGCTCGCTAGCTTTTCGGCACTACTCTTTCATGCTTGCTTAACGTACCTGTAATATCAGTTATCTGTGCGTGGTGCAATAATAAACTTAATCAACACTTCGTATTCAACATTTGATTAATACATTGTTGAGGCGTTATCTACTGACGGTTATCAGGACGAACTATATACGAAATCTAAGGATTATATTGAATATCGACCACCATAAGGTAGATGTTTCTTTTAAAGAATTTATCCAGTACAATATTTACATTCAGTAAGCCATTTATATTTAACTCTTCATTAAAGTACAGTCTATCTGTCATTGTGTTCTATTTTTAGCAAGGTTGTTTTGTACGGAGCGAGATTCCTACAATTACAAAAACATATTGAAATCAAAACATAACTCTCAACCAATATCAAAGTCAAAATCTTCTATAAAAATATCAAGACAGTTCTACTGTACGGAGATGAAACTTCGAGAACTACTACAACCATCATCAAGAAGGCATAGGTATTTATAAACAGATGTCTACGCAAGACACTATGAAGAGAAGAAACTCACTTCGAGCTGAACAAGAAATTAGAAAAAAAAACAACGTTGGAAGTGAATAGGATCTATACATGTCGGAAATCATCAAAATCAAGCGCTAACTTGAAATCCCAAAGAAAACCACAAAAGAGGAACATCAAAGAACTCACTACTCCAGAAATCAGAAGTTAATAATGAATTGGAAAAGATTTCACAGGACAGAATTGGATAAAGAATACAGAATGGACAGTAGATGCTCCTTCACGAAGGGTAACAAAACAAACAAACAAACAAATAGAACAAACGATAAACAAACACATGTGAAAATGATCGAATAATTTCATTGAATTATATTTAAATAATAAAAATCTATTCATCATTTGATTTTAAAACAGATAAAACTGGATACTACTACTACTACTACTAATATAGTAGTATTAGTAGTAGTAGTATTGTTCATAGAAATAGATTAAATAAACATTTCCATATTGAATTATACATTCACAAGAAAAAAGAGATCTATATCAGTTAGAGATACAATAGGCTGAAGTATCCATTGTGAATAGGGAAACAAAAAGAAGTAAAAACCATCGAAGAAATAATCATAAAGGAAGATTGGAATTCTCTGTTCTATAATCAATCAATTAAATATACAATATACAATAAGATGAAACATATACTATTCTAGTTCATGAATAGAGATGATATTCAATAAGAACTTGGCATATCTTCACTAAATTTTGCTTGATAAACAGCACGTTTCATATTGAATAATACCTGAATACAGAAAAAAAAAAGAAATCAAGGAGTGAAAATGATGTAGTTTATGTTATTTCAAACCCTAATCTCTTCGATTAATGCTTATACTCTTACTACGTCTACTGTTACAGGATTTGAATCGATAACTGTATCTCTGTGCTAATGCGGTATGACAACTCGAACCGATGTACGTACGTATGAAGTTCTACGTTGTTACTGATTGACTGATTGAGTGCATAAGTCAAGTAAAGTTAGGCTATCGTGAAAAATCTGGAAGTATTCGATAGCTGTTTCTCCCTAGTATGGAACTCCTCAGCAATACATATCCATGATCCACTTTAAAATTCATTCATCCAGATCAGTATATGGAATCAATCAGTGTTAAAGGATTTGTAACTATCATTATCAAAATTGAAATTGTCCACGACGTGCAATGCTGACTAGTGTTAGAGATGGTTAGAAGAAAGTTAGAGGCGGACAAACTAAAACGTGGCATCAGTGCTTGAAGTCACTAACTTCTAGTTTGAGCCATGTTGGTAGATGCAGACTACTTGGTTGGGGTCCGTCTGATTATTGTAACCAATGGCGCCGGTGTATACACTATATGTCTTCCTTTAAAACTATGATATTAAAATTGCTTTATACCTCTACTTCTATGAACTTATTGTTTCTTCTTGTACTATATCCTTATACACATGAATTCTGTGATTATTTTCAGAAGATAAATTAATTATCTCTAGTAATTCGTTTGTTAAGGCTATCATGAACACAAGCATAATCTAATGTGGCTAAAATATATCTTATGCATATCTAGTCCCCTAGATTGCTACTCTGAGGTAGAATAACTGTCAATTAAAAGAAGTTATTGGTCTACGAGATATCAAACGATTCAGACTGTTTGATCAACATCCCCAAAATTTCAGTCAGTCAGTAACAACGTGGAACTTCGTACGTACGTACATTAGTTCCAGTTGCCATACCATATTGGCACAGTGATACAATTGTCGATTCAAATCCCATAGTGGTAGAGGTAGTAAGAGAGTATAAGCAGTGGTCGGAAACATTAGGGTTTGAACATGTCACTCAAGGAGTATAATCCAGTGAAATAAATTTGGAAAGAGAAAAGAATAAACGAACACGAAGAAATCAGAAGATTAGAATTTGGGTGAACACAAATAGTGAATACACCTGCGCAAACCATTAAACGATTTTGAGCCATATCATTCAAGGTCTCTAACTATCGGTTGCTATTGTCTCGTGGATCCCAACCAGGTAGTCTACACCTACTAACATGCCTCAGTCCGCTTGTCGGTGACTTCATGGATTTGTGACAGATTTTGGTCTGGCCACCCTTAACTTTCTTCCAACCTACTTCTACACCATAAGACATCGCATGTTGGGGGCAGTCGGTGGTTGGACATACGTAACACATGTCCCAGACATCTCAGCCGATGTAGTCTCATTACTTCATCAATTGATTTGCCATCCTTAAATAGTACCCGTTTCCTAACAACTGCATTACTTACTCGGTGGTCCCAGGATATACGAACAATGTTTCGAAGACACCTATGATTAAATACTAGTAACCTACGGATATCCTCTACTCTTACCGGCCACGCTTCACTGCCATAAAGTAGGACGGAACGAACTGCTGTGCAGTAAACACGTCCTTTAGTTGATAGACGGATATCTCGCCTACGCCATAAATGACGCGAGTTGGTAAAAGCCAGTCGAGCCTTCTGTATCCGTGCTGAGATTTCGTCACACACCAGACCACAAGGGCTGATGAGACTTACCGAAATTTGCAACAAACACTTTACAGAACTGTTTAAATTCAAGAAACACTGTCACAGTATGATGTTTTTTTTAGCAATTATACATCATGATTGTTACTGTATAGTTTTAAGAATTATTGTAGTAAAAGAAACTTTTATTTATTTATTTAAATAGATAAATATTCGTACAGATATGCGCCACACTTCGTCATTTGATTTGTGTGAGGGCTTGCATAATGCCATGGTGTCCAAACCGAAATAGGTCGTTTCCATAGGGGGCCACACCCAAAGCCTTCGACCCAAAAGTCTGATCCACAAGGTAGTGGAGTAACCTTAAGAGATCCAGTCCCATGGTAGCCAGTCATCAAAAAAGGTTCATACGCCATTTGTTTCCTCAAAAATACTGTAGCCCATGTACATAATTGGTTTGGGATCAAGGATTTCGGATCCCCTAGGTGGATCCTCAATATCCACTAACCGGGTAAAAGTGCCGGATATTTGTTTTTTCGTCTTCTCAATTTCGTGAACAACACCCTCACCACGAGGAGCCAGTGAATAGGACTTCCCTAACAGTGGTTGTATGAACGTGGACATGCGAGAACGTTTTGAGTGGGACAGCTGACTCTTTTTACTCTTTCAACCATATCAAGGTATTTAGGGATCGATTCACACAAGTGTCAAGTTTTACGATTTAAAATAACTAACTGACATAATTGATATTTAGTATATTGAACAAATAGAAAAGAGACAATTCACAACAACACCACCTTCTTACTTCATTATGCACATAAGATTCACATTCATAACACCATGTTGATAAATCAGCATAACTAAGTACAATTGAATGTTTTGTTATTGTAAAATGTTCAATCATATGTGAATTTGCATAACGACCACAGTAAACCTTGTGAATAACAAAGAAAAAAAAAACATTTTTAACCGACTACTAATCAATAAATGAATGAGCATTTGTTTAGAAATCGATATTCACATAGTAACACATTTCAGACTTTTTTTTAAGTTTCCATAAAACTGTGGAGTGTCTATTCTAGTGAACTTATCAGTAAAGATTTTTGAATGGTCGCCTTCTTGATATTAAGTATATTAGTGGTAAATAGTACTTATTTCGACCTATATAAGTAGTATGTAACATCAATCGAAAGTGGAAAACCCGGCAGTAGACGACTAAAAAGAATCGAATTGAAGAATAGCGAAAAGGAAGTTTGTTTGGCGTTCTGGTGATACGTACTATAGGACTGAAACTTGGAGAACTATTACAGCCATGATCAAGAAGGTATAAGTATTTATAAATAATTGTCTACGCAAGATACTCATCATCCTTGACGGGATACTATCAGTAACAGTCTACTGTGGGAGAAAACAAACCAGCTTCCAGCTCAAGGGGAAATTAGGAAAAGACGATGGAAATGGATAGGACATACAGAACGTAAATCATCAAACTGCATCACAAGGCGAATCATAACTTGGAATCCTGAAAGGAAGCGGAGAAAAGAAAGGCCAAAGAACACATTACGTTGGGAAATAGAAGCATATATGAAAAGGATGAATAGGAACTGAAAAGAGCTGGAAAGGATTGCCCAGGACAGGGTTGGATGTAGAATGCTGGTGAGGGGCTTATGCTGCTTCACGAGGAGTAACACGCGCAAGTAAGTAAAGCAATGTAGACAATAATACCATTGGATGCGTCCCTATTACGTAGAAAACTAACTCGCTAAAAAAACGCTAACCAGAAAATATTATTCAAACCAATTAAACTCTGGCCTGGGAGTCAGAAGTCTTCATTTAGAAGAGTTATGACGCCTCATTATGAAAGGCGAGTTTCTTCGGAAGTCACGAAGCCGATGCCCCTTCTGACAACCAGAGCAACCATTTATTTAGGTACATGGAATGCTCGTACAATGTGGGACACCAGGAGAGCCTTCCAAATTGCTGAAGAAATGAGGAGTTACAACCTAGACGTGCTTGGGATCAGTGAAACACATTGAACGCAAGTTGGACAACAACAACGGCTAGCTTCAAGGTAGCTTCTGCTATACTCTGGCCACGAAGAAGAAAATGCACCATATACACAAGGAATTGCATTGATACTGTCTAAGCAAGCTCAAAATGCACTTATAGGATGGGAATCTCATGGACCAAGGATCATCAAAGCCTCCTTCAAAACAAAGAAAGAGAGCATTACAATGTACGTCATTCAATGCTATGCGCCTACGAACGACTACAATGAAGACCTTAAAGATTAATTCTAACGATAGGCTGCAGTTAATCGTCGAGAAATGCCTAACAAGAATAAATACAATGTAATTGAACAAAAACTTAAAAACGTCAGATATTAATGAATGATGAATAGATTGTAAGTCATATGGTTCCATGATAGCAATGTCATAATGATACAGAACATAATATCAAATTATCAAACAGTAAAATGTGTAAATTATTGAGTAAATTATATGCGTAGAAACATACATTCATACATACACACACACACACACATAAAACTTACTGCATAACATGATAGACAAACCCAATTCTCACTGGAATGATTACAATTACTACATAAACTGTTTATGTCAGGTTTCCAATTAGGATTATTTTGAACGAATGTTAAATGAGGACACCAACTTAATGGTGTGACAGCAAACACATGCGGAGTTAATTCATGTGAAGAAGGCTGAAATAAAAAAACAAAAAAACAAAAAAAAAAGAAAAGAAACATGTTTATCAAATAAATAAGGAGTTGACGTTTGAAGTGAACGATAATGAGTTCGAGTGAACATCAACTCTGAGGTTCGGGTATACTGAACTGATGAGTTCGAAATAAGATGAAACATACGTTTTCGATCCAATTATTAGCCACATTCTATCTATTTTAAGTAAACATGTGTCATAATGGCTATATTCAGCTAAACTGCACAGGATGTACACATGCCAACCAAGACTGAACAAATTCCAATGAATATATCAACGAAATAATCCCCATCGCTAGAACTTAAGCTCCATTGATTTCCGGTTAAATAAAGTGACTTAATTAGATATTAACAGTTTATCTCATTCCAAGTAAACTATGATTCTAATTTACATGCTAAATGTACTGATTCATGGTTTACATTTCATTGATATCCCTTTGAATCGAATGAAAACGTATTTGACTATGATCAGTTTAAGTGTTATAGTTTATCGTCATCTGTGCCAGTTATTTCATTATTCAGAATGTTTTGATTACTGGTAAAGGATACACATAGTTAGCTTTAGCTATTTTTTCAGGTTTTTCCAATAAAATCTGACAGTAATCTTATTATGTTCTGGCTACATGATTAAGTCAAATAATCTGTCGATATATTCAAGCGTGGGATATACAAAGACATAAGAGGGAAGCAGACAAATACTGTCAAATGTCTTCCATACAGCGGAAAACTTGGTTCGACTCGATCTTCAAAAACCTAGGAGAGTGACCGCAGAGTCCAAGAAACAACTGCTTGAAATTAGTCATATACATATTTCTCAGGGACTTCTTGATATATTAGCTCCATAATTTTAAGACCACTCTGTTAGAGATGGGAATTTGTAGGGAATGATGAGGTGTGCTTCTTTAGGCTGTATCTTTTATATCCCTCTTCTTACACTGTGGAAAGGTAGGATCGTCCAAGATTCTGACTATCTGGGGGAAAAACATCTCATCTCAGTCATATCCTTCTACATTTACTGGTACAATTTCACCATTGGGTGTCAAGTTGCTACTATAAGTTTAACCGTTGTTTTTCAACTGAACTGCCTCTTATGGTAGGACCTAAAGGAACAAGTGTGCTAACTAATATAACTGAACAGGATCATTAAGATGGGGATGCTCGACTACCACGTAAAGGGAACAGCTACATTTGATTATTGAAAATGAGTTAAATACATAAATTTAACTATCAAACATGAAATATGGAGAGTGACAAATAATAACTTACTAATCCAAAGAAATCATGAATATCCTCTGAAATAAAACTATTACCATTAGACGTCGATGGTTGTTGCTGTTGTTGTTGATAAGATTCTGAAGGATCTATGACTACTCCAGAAGTTTTTGCCACAGTTGATTCGCTATTATTATTCAACGTTTCATAAGAATTCTCTTCATGGACATTTTGTCTTTCCGATAGTTGCTTAGATATTGATGGTGAACTCAACCTATCATTTGTATTATTTAGTGAAGAATTAACTAAAATAGAATAAGGGGAATTTATTAAAAGAGAACGATAAATATGGCAAGAACTATGTGAAATAGATGATTTATTTTAATTGTTTAACACTAACCCTAATCTATTTGGGGCAAGCTATTGTGAATGATACAACTAGCTATAGTGAACATCCATATATCTTAGTATGAAAATACTTTAAAATTATGTAACATAGTGGTAACAACATAAAAGATGGTAAAAAAAAGATCAGAGAGGGACAATATGATTCCAGAAAATAACTTTCGAACTCAACACCTAAGGTATGACAAAGAGTGGATGAATTTCATTGACTATGATCAACTCTGAACCATATTACCCAACATCTTTATCAATTGGTCTGAGCCATGTTGGTAGAAGCAGACTACTTGGTTGTGATCCGCACGACTATCGTAATCAATGATTGGAGACTCTGGGTGACATGGCTCGGAATTGATCACAATGTCGTAGGTGTATATTCTCTTTGTCTTCCCTTAAACTATGAAATTAAAATCACTTCATATCTTTTTTTCTATCAACTAATTCTTTCTTCTTGTACTATATCCTTATATACAATCTTCTTTTTATATATTACCACCATTGAATTAACTACTTCTATGAATCCGATGTTCATCTTGTTGTGCTAATGAGGTATGGCAACTTGTACCGATGCATATATGTGCTTGGTCCTACGTTGTAGCTGACTGACTGAATGATCGATTAAATATTAAAAGAAATAGGAAGAAAAATACAAACGAACTAGTGAATACAACGTGTTATAAACAATGTACTCAAAATTGACTAGTTTAGGACAAGTAACAAATTTCATGGTTTTAATTGTTTAAATCAAAAAATGTAACACCATTTTTAATAATCAGTGACCAAATGCATATGTACTTCAAAAAATAAAGGAACTATTGAATCATCCTGGTATGGAGCTCCTCAGAAGTGTGTATCCACGATCCCGTACACGAGATTGAAGGGCTTGGGCTCAAGTCCCAAGTACAAGATCGTTTCGACACACTACTAATGAGTCCCATACAAGGACAAAATAGTCGTCTGGTGCATCCACGTTTTTAATGATTCTTTAGCACATAGATCGACTCGTGAATTCAACTATGAAAATACTACAATCTCCATAAATCCTGATTTTACATTTGCATTGTCAGTATATTTCAGTAAATAAATAAAATAACTATTCTTTTAATTAAAATTTCAATTATTAATAACCTGTACGTTATAAAATAAGGAATGTACAAAAACAAACCAACTGTTATAAAGGGAAAAACCAATCGTAGTGTGGGATGTGTTAGTTTAGTCGTATATTACCATTGATCAAATCTCTGCATTATCAATATCTTCCATATTATCTTATACTACTTGTTATGTAATCAGTAGTTCAAATATAAATGAACCATTTTTAAAACCTAAATGCGTTAAGACGAATATTTTTATTTCAATGGTTAAGATCATGAGTCAGTTGAAGCTAGAACACCATGGAAAACCTGGAAGCACTAGACGGTCGTTTCGTCCTACTATGTGGCTCCTCAGTAGTGCGCATTCACAATCCCGCCACGCGAAGATTCGAACCCAGGACCTATAAGTCTCGTGAGCAAAAGCTCAACTTCTAGACCACTGAAATTGGCGGCATCCAATGGTGTTAATGTCTAATTTCAACCAATCCACGAAATTGAGCGACACATCTGCCATTTTTTTCAGTGAGTTACTATCTCACAACAGACGGTTGAACTCCACTGGTCACTGATTCTCACTAGAACTCCAGGATATACATCTTGACTCATGATCTTAACCATTGAAATTACTATAATATCCACAAAACCCATCGGATATTTTTAACTTTGTTGTAAACGTATCATTTTATTTTATCTGTTTATATCACTATGTTGATATTCTCCACCTGGAACCGTTTTAGGTTTACTACTGATCTACATTTAAGTCGACGGCTTGCTTGAATACCTGGGCTACCTGTTCCTGACATCTAGATATTTCAATAAAGTTATCTGTTTTCTTGTTTGTTTTAACACATCATTATGTCTATTGAGCGCACAAACTATATAAGAGCGTTTATAAAACGTTTACATTTTGCTATACAGCTTACAAAAAGGTACGATGAGCGATATCATGGTGATTGGTAATGTGCATTGAAAAGAACGAACATTATTCAGATGTCGATTCCTGAACTGCTGACATCTAACTGGTGATCACTCAAATATTTATCGTCAGGATCGATCAAGAAATAAGAAAAAGAAACTTGTTGAAATACTTTCTGCTTAGAAATTCTATTTTGTATCAAAAATATGATATTGAATAAAGCCAATAGTAACAATAATATTAATAATAGTAAAATTACGGTGAAGAAGGAGAGTTGAGCATGGTGTTAGCAACCTCATCCTGTAGAAAAGAAGCTTGTTAAGAAAATACACTGAAGTAAGATTTCCTTATCTCTTTACTTAACTCTATCTTGGGTGCATATATGTATGTATATGTATAGATACATATGAAACAATATCAGGAAAAACAGAATGAAAAACAAGCAAATAAGGAAAGTTGAATAATAACAATAGAAATGAGATAAATTTAGGCTTAAGATGGATATAGAAGTTGGATACTGGTTAAGAGTGGAATTTAGGACAAGCGTTTCGTTCAATTTGTGACTCATCATCTAGAAAGTTATTGAGTTTGAGCTCCAATATGACCATCAGCTTGTGGATAATAGTACATTCAGTGGATAAGTTCTAGATAAGATGGAACGTGATTCATAGATATCACTGCTAGATTTTAACAAGCTTGAATGATAACTTATAACTACATGGCAATATCAAGGCGGTCTACCTAGGATACATATATAACAACCTAGACTGATCAATCACCGAAACAAGGAAATACATAATCTTACAAATAGAGCTTTCATTGTCTTTAACAATTTGAAAACAAAAGAACTTTGATAGGTTTGGATAGATTCTTAGAAAAACAACCATTAAATGAGTTTATGTGTGGACAATAGCTAAATTATGATCAATGTAGGTTACATTATTTAAGGACCACACACTTTTAATATATTTCCTTTCTTTATAAAATTAATTACGTGTATGTCTATGTTAAAATCATGAGACTTCGGTTCATTGTTGAACAATCAGTGGAATGAAACTCGTCTCTTACATTGATTCCCTCTATCATGGGAAAGCATTTGACGACGTGGATAGGAGAACCTCGTGATACGTTCTTGAACGCTATGGTTTACCTAAGAACGTGAATGTCGTATGAACTCTTAAGACAGATAATACTGAGAAGTTGTCCATGGTGGTCAGTTCAGACACGTTGCAAGTGTACACTGGTGTCAGATGAGGCTACTAGCTCTTAGCCCTTCTCTTTATTCTGGTGGTTGAATCGATTATGAAGACCTCCACATCTACGGGAAAAAATGGAATACAATGGACAACTTAGATGCAACTAGACGATCTGGACTTCACAGATGATCTGGCTCTTCTGTCCCATACACACCAACAAATGCAGATGAAGACAACTAGTGTAACAGAAGCCTGTGAATGAGTAGGCCTCAACATACACAAGGAAAAAACCAAGATCCTCAAAAACAACACGGAGAACACCAAACCAATCACACTTGATGAGGAAACTCTGGAAGTGGTGGAAACTTTCACGTACGGCATCATTGATGAACAAGGAGGATGTGATGCAGAAGTAAAGAAAATATTGGTAAAGTGTGGGCGGTATTCCTAAGGTTAAAGAACATATGTAACTGTCAACTAATCACGAAGTCAGAATCTTCAATGTGAACGTCATAACAGTTCTACTGTATGGAGATGAAACTTCGAGAACTGCTAAAACCATCATCAAAGAAGGCATAAGTATTTATAAACAGTTGTCTACGCAAGACACTCCATATCCGTTGATCAGATACCATCAGCAATAAACTACTGTGAAGAGAATAAACCACTTTTGAGCTGAAGAGGAAATTCGAAAAAGATGTTAGAAGTGAATAGAATACACATTTTCGGAAATCATCAAACTATATCACAAATCAAGCGCTAACTTGGAATCCTAAAGGGAAACGGTAAAAAGGAACATCAAAGAACTCAGTACTCCGGAAATCGGAAGCTGATAATTAACTGGAAAAAGATTTCCGAGGAAACAGTTGGATGAAGAATGTTGATGGGTAGCCTATGCTCCTCCACGAAGGGTAACAGGAGTAAGTAATTAAGTAAATATATTAAAAGTGAACAGCTAAAAAAATATTAATAATAAACTAGTACATTCACATATACAATAATTAACACTGGATATCATCTTTTCGTGGAGAAAACCTCAAAGCAGTTAGCAGTTTAGTTGAATGAAACTCTAAAACATCCTTTTTACTTGACTTCATTAGCTCGTGCGGTGTCTGGCTCTCCTGTTAAACGGGATTGAGCTGTACTGTTTAGGTTTTCAAGTGCAAGTCTGGATGGTGTTTGATCCTTCTGAAAACCAATGTAAAATTACCCTGGCCCACAAAGGTATATTATATAAGTAACTATAACTGATGAATTTGAGACACAATTTACACTTCAGATTGAAATTTTTGAATGAATTCTACAGTGTATATCGTAAATATTCAAGTTAAAATGAGACAAATGATTAAGAAAGGAAAAAAAACACTGAGGTACATTGTTAGCGGGAACAGAGATTGAATTAAGGTATGCTCCGTGCACGATTGTGTTGATGCACGCTGATTGGATAAGAATGATCTAATCAGAGCTAGTCGATACTTGGAGAACACTCTAGAATCTTCTCATATAAAAAAACTATAAACATACTGACGCTTTTTTTCCCTTATTGTGCTTCTTACTTCCATCTCCCTTTTGTTATTGGGATACGATTTCAGCGAAACTATAATTTATGGACGAATCAATCAGGTATAAGATTAAAGGTCTCGGATTTTGGCTAAATAGATTCATGGAATTATAGCTTATGTCAGATCGTGATGAAAACCTCTCAAATCTAAATCCTAACCCATACCAGTCAGTCAGTAACAACGTAGAACTTCGTAAGTACGTACATCAGTTCGAGTTGCCACACAACATTAGCACAGAGATGCAGTGGTCGATTCAAATCCCGTAGTGCTAGATGTAGTAAAATTATAAACTGTAATCAGAAAAATAAGGGTTTGAACATGTTATTCAAGGAGTATAATCCAGTGAAATAAATTTGGAAAGAGGAAAAAGAAAGGGACATGAAGAATTCAGAAGATTAGAATTTGGGAGAACACAAACAAAGGATGCACCTGCGCACACCATAGCAAACGATTTTGAGCCATATTATTCAAGGTCTCTAACCATCGGATGCTATCATCTCGCGGTCCCCAACCAGGTGGTCTACACCTACCAATATGGCTCAGTCCACTTGTCAGTGACTTCATGCACTTGCGCCATGTTTTGGTATGGCCGCCCCTACCTTTCTTCCAATTTACTCCTATACAACAAAACATCGCACATCGAGGCAGTCGGTGGTTGGGCATACGTAACACGTGTCCCAGCCATCTCAACTGATGAAGTTTCACTACTTCATCAATTGATTTGCCATCCTTACCTAGTACTCGTTTCCTAACAACTGTGTTACTTACTCGATAGTCCCATGATATACGAGCAACGTTTCGAAGACACCGATGATTGAATACTAGGAACCTACGGATATCCTCCACTCTTACCGGCCACGCTTCACTGCCATAACGTAGGACGAAACGAACTTCTGTGCAGTAAACACGTCCTCCGGTTGATAGATGGATATCTCGCCTACGCCATAAATGACGCAAGTTGGTAAAAGCTAGTCTAGCCTTCTGTATCCGTTCTGAGATTTCGTCACACACCAGACCACAAGGGCTGATGAGACTTCCAAGATAAGTGAAGCGGTCAACACGCTCAACTACTTCACTCCCTATCATTAGTTCGGGTGTCAATGCAGCCCAATCCTGAAGCAACATTTTGCATTTCAATGGGGAGAATCGCATCCCCAACATGCTTGCATTGTTGTTTAGAGTGGTCAGAAGACTCTGCATCTTGTCAGCGTCTTCACCAAATAGAACTATGTCATCAGCATATTCTAAGTTAACAAGTGAACCTCCCGGTAGAAGTTCAATCCTTGCTTAAACCATACCGTCAATTGTCAATCTTTTTTCTAATTTTATCATACTGGTTTACAACAAATTTCATTTGGTCCTAGTAAATTAGATGGATACTTTCAAGGTCAGTTTGGCATTGTTCAATAGTCATCCATAAATTATAGTCTCATCACAAATTCATTCCTGTTCAACTGTATTCTGATTTGGGGACATCTCAAATGAATTCATATTCAAGACTACTAAGCAATAAGGAATAGCTGGGTTGTATAATAAGAAGAGAGAATTATAACACACTATTCAACAGTATAATCTGAAAAATATAGAACTAACCATTTAAAGTTAATTTTGTTTTAAATAATTGAGAAAATTCATCATCTAAATTATTATCATTATGATCACCAGGAGTCGATGTACATTTTGTATTGAATTGTCTATCATTTATATTAAGATTATTTAATTTTGAATGAACTAAATCACTTGAACAACTTAGTTCAATAGTTGTATTAATACTATTAGAAATAGGAGTAGGAGTCGTAGTCGTAGTATTTTGAGGATTTTGTCGAGTATTCCTACCAATTACAGGACGACGTATTGAATCTTGATCATAAAGACGATCCACTGGATCTGAGTAAGAAAAAAGAAAGAAAGCAAACAAATAGAAAGATACATTTTCATTTCATATTATTTGAGAAGTTGGAATTGATGACAATCACAAACCCCTTCTGATAATAATCATTCGCTCACTAATGACTGACTTCAAGAGATACTCCTGGAGTTCTGGTGGGAAGCCGTTACCAGCGGAGTTCAACCAGGTCTGTTGTGAGATACCAGCTCACTGAAGACAATGGTATACGGTGGCGCAACTTCGTGGATTGGTTGAAGTTAGACATTAACACCGTTGGACGCCGGTTCAGTGGTCTAGTGGTTAAGTGCTCGCGCGCAGAACCAGTAGGTCCTGGACTCGAGTCCCTCGGGTGCGGGATCGTGGATGCGCACTGCTGAGGAGTCCCATACTAGGACGAAATGGCCGTCCAGTGCTCCCAGGTTTTCCATGGTGGTCTAGCTTCAACTGACTCATGATTTCAATCTGTGATAATCACAATTGTATTAATCTTCAGTTGATAGTTTTTACTATACAAAGGATTATTTAGAAATAGTGAAAAATTACAAAATGGTACTGGAAAATTAGTAAATAATTGATCTCAGCTATGAAAAAACATCGAGAAAGAAGCTCTTTCCAACCTAATTTTCCTTAATATTTTGGTCTTTGATTGAGATCATGAACCGAATGATGTAAGATCACAATTGCAAACCTGGGAGCGGTGAACGGCCGTCTCGTCTTATTGTGGGATGACTACTCAGCAATGCGCATCCACGATTTCGCTCGCGGGGTTCCAAGCCAGGGTATTCGGTCTCTCGCGCGAACACTTAACCTCTAAACTACTGAGCCGGCATCCAACGGTGTTAATGTCTAACTTCAACCAATCCACGAAATTAAGCGATCATCTCCGATTGTACTGAGGTAGATATCTGTCTCTACCCGACACGGATTAGCTCCACTGGTCACGGCTTCTCACTAGAACTCCGAGAATTCTCTCGCGAAGCTAGGCACTCATGAGCACATGTTGTTTCACTGACAACTAGTTGACTAACTGAAGAACTTGAATACAACTTGTGTATTCCTGAAGTTTACCATTATGGATTAGTAATTGTTAACTTATTTTTAACACATAGATGAATAATGTTTCTATTGATATTACTTCGCTTTAGTGTTAACTGAAATATTAATTGATGGCTAATTCTCGGAATTACTCAACTGAAATGCAACCACTGACATAATATCTAACATATTTGCATTGATTATTTGAATTCCTAGAATGAACATCAAATCTGGGATACAGGTACATCCTGCTAACGAGTCTTAAACAGGATGAAACGCGCGCCTCACATTCCACTGTTAGACACCATCCATCTTTACTTATAACGGACCGTTAATGTATGTGCAGTAAGCTTGCAAAAAATACTCTGTATAGAAGACAATCAAATAAATAGTTGAAACACTTATTGTGGTATTTCCAGTACTATATATTTTCTTATAACTGTAAAACATAACTGATGAAGACTGAATATGTTAATTAGGTCTACGCAAAATACTTTGAATCCGATGGTCAGACACTAACACTATCAGCAACAACCTACTGTGGGAGAGGACAAACCAAGTCCCAGCGAAGGAAGATATCAGGAAGAAGCGCTGGAAGTGGAAAGAACATATATTGAGGAAAGCACACAACTGCGTCACAAGGCAAGCCCTCATCACTTCAAATCCTCAAGGCCAGAGGAGGAGAGGAAGACATAAGCATTGGTACAAGGAGGCACTGAATGCATATGCGCCACATAAATCATTCGATTTGTGTGACGGATAGGATAATGCCTAAGTGCCCAGACCGAAACAGATGGTATTTTTAGGGGTTCACACCCGGAGCCTTCGACTTAAAGTCTGATGTATAAGGCAGTCGAGCAACGTTAGGAGATGTAATCGCATGATAGCCCGTGGCCAACAACAGGTTCATACGACATTTGTTCCCTCAGGACACTGAAGCTCATGTGTACCATTAGTTTGGAATCAGGGTTTTACAACTCTCCGTGTCCACCAAACCGGTAAGAGTTCCGGATATTCGCTTTTCTTCCTCTCAATTTCGTGAACAACAGTAATGCCGCGAAAAGGAATTCGCTGACAGTGCCTGTATACACGCATGACTATGTGAGAGCATTTCGAGAGTGAGAGAGAACTCTCCTCACTCTCGGCCGTACCAAACAATAAAAACTGTATAGAAAATAATTTTATACAGAGAAAAATGTATGACAAAAAACATACCGAAACCTTTAAGCATATTCCAATAGTTTGCATGAATTTCAATTGTCTGTTGCATTGATTTACAACTTCTGTTGTTTTTTTTTTGTTTAAAAACAAGAAACAAACAAAAATCTCAATACAACATAAACTATGATGAAAAAAGAATAGAGGCATAGACCAGTAGAGAAAAATATCCAATAATTATGAAGTACTACAGAAATGTTAGTCAACAAGACGAATAAACAATGTTTAATGCTTGTCATTAGTTTTCTGAAGTATTGCTCAGTGTGAGGAGAGTATTATGGAACAACCGAGTGAGGAATGTTCAGATTAGGGATAGGATACTAAGCAAAGTTAGTAAAAAAGACTGAAACTTCACAGACTGATGGCGATTAGGATATGTCTTATGTATACCAACCTACCGTCCTTATCTTGATGAGCTATTTTGGATGAATTAGGAAAATGCTGGATGAATACTAGCGGTAATTAAACTAAGATCTGACAACAATTTATAAACTAGTTAAGTATTGAACTAGGCTGTGCCGGTAGGTGCTCAACATCAACACTGGGATGAGGGTACATTCAACTGACGAGTCCTGAACAGAACGAAACAAGGGTTCCAGATTCTACTAATAGCCATATATTAAATATACAGAAACTTGTAATATGGTATTATAGCAGGGCGATCCGCTTAGGATGTTCATGTAGCATCAGAGACTGACCATTTGCAGTTCAGAATATATTAACAATAGGGAATTACACACGCTTACTAATGTGATAGTCTTCTTCAGTTATGTATAGATGTTAGTGTTCCTAAGGGGGTACACTATACTCCAGGGCAAAAAGGTGATATCATACTGTTATCACTTATTTAATACAAATTATAGTACATATGAAGAGCTATGATAAATTACATTTAAATGATATTTGATACATAGAAAAAAAGAGTATGACATTACTTTTCAGAGATGGAAAGATTCGATGCTAAACGTGGACAATAATCACCTAATAATGCAGCTACACAATAAGCAACACATTGTGATAAAGCAGTTAATTGATAGCCACCTTCTAAAGCTAATACTAATCCACCAGAATATGATATTGATTTTTCTTGTTGTAAACGTTGACGAGTTTGTCTAGTTGGAGTTGATATAATTGGTGAGTCTTTTCGATGATTTAATGTATATACAGATGGATTTAAATGTACAACTGTCATTAATAAATGTGTTAAATGAGCAAAACATTCAGGAGATACACCTAATCTACCCTTTAAAATGAAAAGATTGAAAAATAGTAATATAAAATGTGATATGTATAGAATGGTAACATTTTTAAAATAATTATTTACCAACATACGGTTGTGAAGATTGTTGAATCTTGTTGTGATTAAAAACCGATCTAAGTCAAATAACGATTGGAAACCTGGAAGGAATGAATGACCGTTTAGTCTGAGTACAGAACTCCTCAGGAATACGTACTCAAGACTTCAAAGTCAGGAAACGAACCCAAGATCTTCAGCCTAGGAAGTAAAGTTTGTACAAGGTTGGTTCTCATCTCAGTGGTTTAGAGGTTAATCGTCCGAGTGGGAGACAGGAGGACCTGGATCTGATCCCAGATCGCGGAGTTGTGGGTACACAGTTCTGAGGGGTCTCATAATAAAACTAAACGGCCGTCCAGTGCTTCTAGGTTTTCGAAAGTTGTCGAACTTAGATAGGTTTCATTAATTCAATGAAACGGATATAGCTGTACACACAGTGAGATTTTTAAGTAAATAAATCTCTGTGATAGAAACTAGAAAGGTATGTTATCTTCGCTTCCCATTGACGAAATCTCGGCATGGATTTAGAACGCTTCGTTGACGTTCGTCGAATTTTTTCACCTGTGGCATAGGCGAGATGTTTATTTGTTAATCAAAGGAGGAGTATATTGAGCAGCGGTTAGCCATATATTATTATATGGCTGTGAAACATGACTAGTAAAAGAAGAAGATATACTTAGGCTCCAGGTGTCTTCAGAGCATCGTTAGTGCTTCGAGAGACGACTGAATGAGAAACGCTAGGGCTAGGTGTATGGGATTAAATAAAAACGGCAAATCAATTGATAAGGTTGTGATCCTCAATTAACTGAGGTGGTTTGGACATTAATTGCATATACCCAAGCAACATCTACCTCAACATGGAGTGCTAGCTGGTGTAGGAGTATGTTAGAGAATTATAGGCGCCTAAAACAAGATGTGGGGTTAGTTCATGAAATTATCTACAATTGGTCTGAACTGTATTACTAGATGGAGGTTACCTAGTTGGGTTTGGAGTCCAAGTGAAAGACTCAATCAGTAATTGAAGGTGTTGAGTAACATGGGTCAAAAACAGTCATAATGACACAGAACCATTCATTTACTATCTTCCTCTGTACTAAAAGTTTATATATTTCACCTCAAATCTTTTTTCGTTCCATTTTCTCGTACCGTATTCTCAACGTTTAGCCTCTCTCATTATCGTTACTACTATTACAAGAATTAATTTAACTTATTCGCTGTTCATCTCATCATCACTTACTTACTTACGCCTGTTACTCCTAATGGAGCATAGGCCGCAGACCAGCATTCTCCAACCCACTCTGTCCTGAGCCTACTTTTCTAGTTCCATCTAATTCTTGTTCATTTTTCTCATGTCTATCTCCATTTCCCGGCGTAATGTGTTCGTTGGTCTTCCTCCCCTCCTTTCACCTTGAGGGTTCCATGTGAGGGCTTGTCTTGTGACGCAGTTGGGTGCTTTCCTCAGTGTGTGTCCTATCCACTTCCAGCGCTTCTTCCTGATTTCTTCCTCCGCTGGGATCTGATTTGTTCTCTCCCACAGTAGGTTGTTGCTAATAGTGTCCGGCCAACGGATCTGAAGTATTTTGCGTAGATAACTGTTAATAAACACTTATTTCTTCTGGATGATGGCTTACGTGGTTCTCCAGCTTTCCACCCCATACAGTAGAACTGTCTTGACATTTGTATTGAAAATCCTGACCTTGGTGTTGGTTGACAGTTGCTTTGAGTTCCACATGTTCTTCAGTTGTAAATATGCTGCTCTCACCTTACCGATCCGTGTCTTCACATCTGCATCAGATCCACCCTGTTCATCAATGATGCTGCCCAAATATGTAAAGGTTTTTACATCTTCCAAATCTTCTCCGTCAATTGTGATTGGATTGGTGCATTCTGTGTTGTACCGGAGAATCTTGCATTTTCCTTTGTGTATATTGAGACCTACTGCTGCTGAGGCTGCTGCCACACTGTTCGTCTTCTCCTGCATTTGTTGTTGCGTTTGGGATAGAAGGGCCAGATCATCTGCGAAGTCTAGATCGTCCAACTGCATCTTAGATGTCCATTGTATCCCGTGCTTCCCTTCAGATGTTGACGTATTCATGATCCAGTCGATCACCAGGAGAAAGAGAAAGGGTGAGAATAAGCAACCTTGCCTAACACCGGTCTTCACTTCGAACGACTTTGTCAACTGTCCTCCATGCACGATTTTGCAGTGTAATCCATCATAAGAATTCTCTATGATATTGACTATCTTCTGAGGCACGCCGTAGTGTCGAAGAAGTTTCTATAGTGTTGTTTTGTCCGCACTGTCAAATGTTTTTTCGTAGTCAATGAAGTTGATGTAGAGTGATGAATTCCATTCAATTGATTGTTCCACAATGATCCGTAGAGTTGCGATTTGGTCTGTACAAGATCTATCCTTACGGAATCCTGCCTGTTGGTCACGAAGTTTGGCGTCTACGCAGTCCTTCATCCTGTTTAACAATATCCTGTTGAAGACTTTTACCGGTATTAAGAGGAGAGTGATGCCCCTGTAGTTATCACAGTTGCTGAGATCTCCTTTCTTTGGTATTTTGATCAGGAATCCTTCTTTCCAGTTTATCGGTACTTGTTCTTCATCCTAAATCTTGCTGAAGAGAATGTTGAGTATCCTTTCAGTTGCCGCTACGTCTGCTTTTAGTGCCTCTGCTGGGATGTTGTCCGGTCCTGCTGCTTTGCCACTCTTGATTTGTCTGATGGCCATGCTGATTTCTTCAGTCGTTGGTGGGCCAACATTAATTGGGAGGTCCGTGGGTGCTGCTTCGATGTTGGGTGGGTTCAGTGGAGCTGGTCGATTCAAGAGTTCTTTGAAGTGTTCTACCCACCTGTTTTGTTGCTCTTCAATGTTGGTGATTACCTCGCCTTCCTTGCTTTTCACTGGTCGTTCTGGTTTGCGGCGATTTCCAGAGAGTTTTTTTTGTTATGTCATACAGTTGTCTCATGTTTCCTTCTCTTGCAGCCTTTTCCGCCGTCGTTGCTAAATCTTCCACATATTTACGTTTGTCAATTCTGATGCTCTTCTTCACTTGTTTGTTTAATCCTGTGTATTCAGCTTGGGCCTTGGCTTTCTCTGCTCTTGTTCGACTGGTATTGATTGCTGCCTTCTTGTTCCTCCTTTCTTGAATCTTATCCAGTGTATCAACAGTGATCCATTCCTTGTTATGGTGCTTCTCGTGACCCAGGACCTCATGACATGTTGAAGTGATTGTCTCTTTGATCACCTTCCAGTTACTCTCCATAGTAGTTTCTTCTCCATTGAGTACATCATGAAAGGCTTGGAACTTATTGCTGAGGACTATCTTGAATTTGTTGAGTTTGTCAGTATCCTGAAGAAAAGCTGTATTAAACGTTTGTGATATTGTCCGTCCTGTTGTCCAGTGCTTCTTGAATTTCATATTGGCGACTAGCAAATGATGATCTGATGCTATATCAGCTCCTCTCTTGGTTCTCACGTCCTCTATAGTCCTCCTGAACGTTTTGTTGATGCAAATATGGTCGATTTGGTTTTGCGTAGTGTGATCCGGTGAAGTCCATGTGGTTTTGTGTATGCGTTTATGTGGGAATATGGTACCGCCTATGACCAGTTTATTGAAGGCACATAGATTTGCAAATCTCTCACCATTTTCGTTCCTTTCTCCCAGTCCGTGCCGTCCCATGATGTCTTCATATCCAGTGTTGTCCGTTCCAACCTTGGCATTGAAATCTCCCATCAGAATGGTCAGGTCTTTTGTTGGGCACTTCTCGATGATTGACTGCAGCCTATTGTAGAATTGATCTTTAGCGTCTTCATCGTAGTCGTTGGTAGGCGCATAGCATTGGATGATGTTCATTGAAATGCCCTCTTTCTTTGTTTTGAAGGAGGTTTAAATGATCCTTGGTCCATGAGATTCGCATCCTGTAAGCACATTTTGTGCTTGTTTTGACAGCATCAATGCAACTCCTTGTGTATATGGAGGATTTTCTTCTTCATGGACGGAGTATAGCAGAAGTTCTCTTGAAGTGAGTCATTGTTGTCCAACTTGCGTTCAATGTGTTTCACTGATCCCAAGCACCTCTAGGTTGTATCTCCTCGTTTCTCCAGCGATTTGGAAGGCTCTCCCGGTGTCCCACATTGTACGAACATTCCATGTACCTTAATAAATGGTTGCTCTGGTTGTCAGAATGGGCATCAGCCTCATGAATTCCGAAGGAACTCGGCTTTCACCATGATGTATCATAACTCTTTTAAATGAAGACCTTCTAACTTCTAGAGCAGAGTTTAAATGGTTTAGATTATTTTTCCTGGTTAGCGTTTTTTTGCGAGTTAGTTTTCTGCGTAATGGGGACGCTAACACCATGCCCAACCCTCCTCCTTTATCCGGGTTTGGGACCGGCAGTAGCCCCCGGAGGGACTTCAGACGGAGTTTCATCTCACCATACTAATATGATAATGGTAAATTGAGTTAACGAACATTTTTTGTCAGACTATAGAATAATTATGAGTGACATACTACCGACTACATAAAATTAGACCTTTTCATAATATAATATAACTACATGTTTCTTTCAGAAGACATTTGGGAAAGCTTATGTCAACTGTAAAAGAAATTCCTATGTATAACGCAACCACGAAGGGAATGATTTCCATATTAAACTTAGAATTACACACTTGGAAATGATAAACCTGTTGATGTGATTGTGAACGTTCAATGATTGAAGAGTAATTACAACACATCTTAAGTAACCATACATCACCTGTCTAGGACGCCCGACCGTTGTTGCTACCTTGACGTGGTGGTCGAGCTTGCCTATCGAGCTATACTGGCTGGAACAACCGTTCCTCAAGGTCCTACCATATCAGACAGGTCGGTTGAAAAGAGAAGTAAGACTAAAAGCAACAAACCCAAGGTCCGAAGGCGAAGTCGTACTGCTGACTGTACAAAGGTGTGACAGCAGTAAAGTGTTTCCTTCAGACAACCCGCATGACAGTGATGCTGTCTTCCCACAAACGAAGAGTGGAGTTAGAAAAAATCGATTCTAAAAATCAACACCTCACCTTATCACACGGATATCCATCTCCGGCGGTAAGGTCTCAACAAGTACGGAGCTAACACAAAAATTACCCATAAAAAGGTCGTGTGTGACCGACCTCAAGCAGTTGTACTTTGGGCACTACGGTCACGCTCTCAGGTCACTAAGACCACCTCTAACCCAATTTCCTTTTCAGGTACCTCCAGAAGAACCCTTCCACGGTGTGGGCAACCAGGAAGTGATAACCGCCCTCATACCTCTAACAGTACTCAAGACCACTTATCTAGGACGAGAGTAGACTGGAAAAAAGCTACAAGTGCCCATATAGATAAGAGATTATTCACTGTTAAATTTAGATATTTTAAGAGTTTTTAAGCTTCCTAGTAAAGTTTATATGGGGCATCCAAATATCTATCAAACAAATATAAATATGAAAATAGTCAGTAGAAAAAGTATCCTTACCAACTTATCCCCATGAGCAGCATCAAATCCAGCTGAAACTAGAATCAGCTGTGGTCGAAACTCATATAATATTGGAATGATGATATTTGTGAAAGCAACAATGTAATCACCATCTTTAACATCTCTCTAGAATAAGGTTAGGGAACAAGATAAACAACACTAGTGATAAATGTATAATTAGCATTCTTTCAATACATACATACATCATATTTAGAATAATAGGATATCATGTTAAGAACTACACTAGATTATCGAACTGTACGTTTTACCTTGACTTGATGGTCGAGTTTTACTATCATAATGAACTAGTCAAGTTGGGCTGGCTACAGTATTCATTCCTACAATGCCGAACAGGTCAATTGAAGAATAAAGCAGCAAACTAAAATTCGAGGACGAAGTTACATTAATGGTTGTACAGGGGTGTGACAACAGTAAGATATTTTCGTTATGTAATCAGTCTGTACTGACCTTGATCTTACATAAAGAAGAGGATAGGATTTAAAAAATTCGATCCTAAAATTGGTACACTTTGTCCTGTCTTACGGATTTCCGATGCCAGAGGAAAGGTTTGGAAAGTACGGACCAAAAACAACAGAAACTCAGAAAAATATCGTACGTGACCAGCCTCGGACAGCTGTCCATTCAGCTTTACAGTCATTCCTCATTTTTAGATCCCCCAAGAAGATGTATTCTTCCACGATGAGGGCAACCGCTTATGAATGTAGAAATGTAATAAGAATGAAAACTAATATTCTTTTTCATGCTGATATTTTTGGGGCTGTAACATGATAGAAGAGATTCGTAGCTCAGGAAAATGAATGTATAAAATGGCGTTACGAATTTAAATCATTGGATTTCGACATAGTAGTTGAGAAGTAAAGCTTTGGCAACGACCTGAAAACTGTAGGCTTAATATTCGATGAGGTCGAGGATGTGCGTCTTTTAAGAGTCACATAATAAGACGAAACAATTATCCAATGCTTCTTGGATTTCAATGATTATTTGTGACGTACATTATAATGGCATACAAAAATATACTATTAAAATTTAATTTATATAATCAATTTTAAAACATAAAACAAACCCCATTCCATGCAACATGAATTGTACGACCTAAACCTTCACCAATACCACAAAATTGACTTGAACTAAAATCACTATTTGGAAAATATCGTCCATGGTCGAACCGATGCACTGATATATATAAAATACTGAAATGCCCCCCCCAAAAAAAAGTATATGTGAATTAGATGAAGAGAAGCAAAAGAAATAACAAAACAAAATAAAAAAGGTATTTTCGATGGTTGAGGTAATGAGTCAATTGAAGCTAGACTATCATGGAAAACCTGGAAGCACTACATGACCGTTTCGTCCCATTGTGAGACTCCTCAGCATTGAGCATCCACGATCCCGCCTCTCGAGATTGGAACTCGGGACCTATCAGTCTTGCGAGTGAGCGCTCAACCTCTAGAACACTGAGATAGTAACTCACTAAAGACAATAGTGGATGTGTCGCTCAATTTCGTGGATTGGTTGAAATTAGAAATTAACACCGTTGAATGCCGCCAATTTCAGTGATCTAGAAGTCGAGCTTTAGCGTGCGAGACTTATAGATCCTGGGTTCGAATCTTCGCGTGGCGGGATTGTGGATGTGAACTGCTGAGGAGTCCTGCAATAAGACGAAAAGGTCATACAGTGTTTCCAGATTTTCCATGATGGTCTAACTTCAATTGATTCATGATCTCAATCATTGAAATGACTGTAATATCTATAAAAACCCTTCTGATATGAAAAAACGGCATTGATTAACTTCAATGATAAGGTAAAAAAAAAAGAGAATGAATAGACTTTTTTTGAAAAAGTATCCAACATATTATTATGTAACTCAATAATAATCCTCAAGTATATATGTTTCTGTATGGAAGATAAGTTAAAGTAATTACGATGGATCAGCTTAATGTGTATAAAGATAGTTCACTAATTTGTTAATATGATCAGGTATGTCGCTCATTTTTAATGAGGATTCATTCTTCATAAAGTATTTAAAACACTATGGTTTTGTTGGAAACAATGTAAAATATCGTTGAAAATTGTTATTCTACGACTTAAAGTGGATTGAGAATTGCCTATTTTCCAGTCACTATGTTTCTTTAACAAAAAGATCCAGTCAATATTATGTCGCGACCGTTACTGCTACATTGATATGGTGGTCGGGTTTGCCTACCGTGATGAACCAATCGAGCTATACTCACAGGAATATTCAGTCCACAAGGTCTCATCATATCAGCCGGATCAATTGATGAATGGTAAGAGAAAGGAACAAACCCATAACCAGAGAGTGAAGTCGTACTGCTGACTGTACAAAGGTGTGATAGCAGTAAGGTGTTTCCTCCACACAATCAGCATAACAGTGAGGCTGTCTTTCCACAAACGAAGAGTGGAGAAAAATCAACACCTCACCTTATCACATGGATAACCGTATCCGGCGGTAAGGTCTCAATAAGTACGGAGCTAACACAAAAATTACCTACAAAAGGGTGGTGTGTGACCGGTCTCAAGCAGCTGTCTCTTGGGCACTGAGGTCACACTCTCAGATCATTAAGAACAACTCTAAAACAATTCCCTTTTCAGGTGCCTCAAGAAGAACTCTTCCACAATGTGGACTACTGCTCTCGTTCTTCTAAAAGCATTCAAGACTACTGTATTCACAATCAATTCCCCTCGTCTGAATATCATATTTTTAAACGTCTATTCTTGAAACTTCTCATATATTGTAGAAAAAAGTAGATACATATTTCTTTCTTAATTATGCTGTGATATATATATATATATATATATATATATATATATATATATATATATATTTGAGATCATGAACCGATTGATGTTAGACCACCTTTGGAAACCTGGAAGCAATGGACGCCTGTTTCGTCATATTGTGGGACATCCACGATCCCGCTCGCGGCATTCGGACCTAGAGTCTTCGGTCTCGAGCGTGAACGCTTAACCTATTGGACCACTGAGCCGTCATCCAATGGTGATAGTGTCTAACATCAACAATAATCTCCACAACCCCTATACTAGTAACATATATCTATATGCCGTTTAATAAAGAAATAAACCACATACTGTGATGAGTAAGTTTCATCTTATCACTATATTGTTTTTTATTGAACTTCTTTATAAGTGTGATTATCACTTCCTAATGACCAATTTCTATGAAACTTCTCATCACTATTCAGTATGTTTGTTATACTGTTTTCTCTTTTGTTCATTATCTATTCATTTTCTAGTTCAACCTAGTCCCCCCCACAGAAACAGATCATCCTGAGATTTCCTGTTGTTGAACCAACACACGTGAATCAGGACAATAATGTGAAGAGGATAAACAGAAAAATAATGATAAAATTTGAATAGTTTGAAGACTTTTTTTCATGGAGATTTTGACTAACGAAGATAAATACGAAACAAGGGTATGACGATAAAGACAGTGTGTATGTTGTATAATAATAGATAAACTAGAAACATATATATATTACATAAAGAATTATAACTATACTTTGGATCATCTTCAAATATTTCCGCTGTTCCATTTCCATGATGAACATCCCAATCGATAATTGCAATCCTACAGAATATAAACATAAACACATAAAGAGGGAAATTATTTTTTAAAAAAAAATCCAAATCAAATCATATAAAATGATTATGAGAAATGGATACAAACACAACATACCGTTCTAATCCATAGACTTGTTGAGCATGTCTAGCTCCAATTGCTACATTATTGAAAAAACAAAATCCCATACAACGATCTTTTAAAGCATGATGACCGGGAGGACGAATTAATGCCATACCATTTAAACTCTTTAAAAAGAAATACATATAGAAAATGAAGGATTATATATTGTTCTTACAATTAATTGGTGCTTAGTAACAACTATATATAAATATGCTTGTATTACAAAAACTGAATGAAAATTTTATGTTGTCACAGGCCAGTAATCGTTATCAATTAAGAGATGGGTATACTACGCAGCAGTTCGTTCTGTTTTAATTTATGGCTATGAAACGTGACCATTAAGAGTTGAAGATATTCATAAACTACTAGTATTTGACCACAGATACCTTAGAAATATTGCTGGCGTCTGTTGGGATCACCGGGTAAGTAATAGTGAGGTTAGATGCAGGGTATTAGGAAATGATGGTAAATCAGTTGATGAGGTTATGAATCTTCATCGACTGAGATGGTTGGGCCATGTGTTACATATGCCTGAACACCGATTACCACGACGTGCAATGCTAACCGGTGTAGGGGATGGTTGGAAGAAAGTTAGGGGCGGCCAAACGAAAACGTGGCATCAGTGCTTGAAGTCACTAACTTCTAGTCTGAGCCATGTTGGTAGATGCAGACTACTTGGTTGGGGTCCGCGTGACTATCGTAACCAATAGTTGGATACTCTTGGTGACATGTCTCTGAATCGATCACAATGGCGTAGGTGTATATTCTCTGTCTTCCCTTAAACTATGATATTAAAATCGCTTCATATCTTTCTTTCTATCAACTAATTCTTTCTTCCTGTACTATATCTTTATATGCAATATTTCTTTTGTATATTACCACCACTGAATTAACTACTCCTATGAATCCGGTGTTCATCTTGTTGTTCCCATGGTGTGGCAACTTGGACCGATGCATATACGTGCCTAGTCCTACGTAATACCCGATTGACTGTATTTATTGATACGAAAGAGGCATTTGATCTGCTTGACAGCATGGTACTCTAGAATTGTCTATTGAAGACGGAATTTATCAGAAAATTACTAAAATTAAAAAAAATTGGTAAACAAGCACCTCAATGTAGAGTAAGGGTTTACAACTTTTTTCTTTATGTTGTTTCAATCACATAGTAGAAAGACAATATTGTCCAATTTCATTATCTCTCTCATATATGCTCATGGATGACATTCTTTGAATATTTCCAAAAGAGATAAGTGATTGTGTGAATTTATTAATTGGAGAAAGACTTTTCAACCTCAAGTTTGTGAATGATATTGTCTTAATGTACAATAGTACGTAGATGTATTAAGTTGCACTTAATCAATTGGCCATTACTGTTAACTCTTGAAATTCAAAACATATCGGCAAGACTACTAGAAGCTTCTGTTAATACTGTTTTTAGCGAGTCATTAAAAATAGGCACAAAAAGTCGTGTATCTTGGTAGTTGTATATGTGTTAACATGACGAACACTAAAACAGACTATTCTGGAATGGACTATCTTTAATGCTGTTGTGACGTCAAACTGGTTGTAAAATGTAGGATTTAAAACAAGTTGGTGGGGGTAGTTCAATTCGTGAAACCTGACCTCTGAGCTACGAATAACCAGCAACTTTTTCATAGATCTCTACTTCCTCCAAAAAATTCCCAGCATACAGTAATGAAGCTGTGTTGGTAATCCTAAGTTTTAGCAATATGTGTTCAGACATAGTGATGATAATCCAACTAATATCATTACTTTTTTTTTAAAAAAAAAAACGACTTTATCGGCTTAGTAATGTTTTACAAATACCGTTATATACTACTGATATGGATATAAGTAACCCACACCACAATTCTGTCAGTTCTTACAGCACGCATAATGTCCCGAAGCAGTAACTGAATGAAGCCACAGTATAGAGATGTTGTTCAATCTATGACATTGTCTCATAGTATAGTGTTCAAAATAGGAAACTCAAGCAAATTTTGTTTCAATTTACCAATGACATTTTTCATAAATATAAGGTGAATTCCTTCATCTTGAGTGGGACTTATAACTGAATTATATTGCAGTGTTGGTTACTATGTTAGATCCATATAACTTATTCTAGCTTCTGGACAGGCTCATTTATCCATTATTATTGAGTTATGTTTTGACCATGTACATTAACTACTTATCAACCCTGACTGTTTTTATATGGGCGTATATTTGTGTACATTTCTTATCTTATTCATCACACGTCTATAACTTATTTTCGTGTGACTATAAATATTGATTCACGCTTAATTAAAGGGAGTTGGCTCACATGCTTTTTCCATTGCGTATCATTTCGCTTCATCCCTCTGTGATTGCCTGTCCAAATCAGTGAGTATACAAAATATATGCACTTGCGCACACCATTACAAACGATTTTGAGCAACGTCACTCAAGGTCTCTAATCATCGGTTGCTATCATCTCGTGGATCCCAACCAGTTAGTCTACACTTACCAACAGGACTCAGTTCACTTGTCACTGACTTCATGGACTTGTACCATGTTTCGATCTGGCCGCCCTTAGCTTTCTTCCAACCTACATCTACACCATGAAACATCGCACATCGGGGGCAGTCGGTGGTTGGGCATACGTAACACATGTCTCAGCCATGTCAACTGATGATGTTTCACCACTTCATCAATTGATTTTCCATCCTTACCTAGTACCCATTTCCTAACAAACTCATTAAGAGTGACTACTTGTGATTGCATTGAATAAACTGATTATCTAGTTTATACTGTGGTACCCTATTCTGAGTCATGGATCCTGGATTGGATATAACGCGTGACCAGTCTCTTTACTGTATTAACATATTATCGTAGTATACCATAAGAATGAGAAAATATGTTTTAAACCCTCATTCATTGTATCATAAATGATGAATAGAATTCTCAATTGAGAAAAAAGAGAAAAAAACCAAGGAATATTTACCTCTCCTGAACAAACTTCATCAATAACCGCTAATAAAGAGCCACTAGCTAATAGTGCGTTGTCATATGTATGCTAAAACAAGAATAGAAAACAACAAGAAGTTTCTAGAAGAGAATGTTACAAAAAAACTTTATACAAATTCAATGAAAAACAATTTCTTTTTTCAAAAAAAATCGTTGAAGAGATATTCTGTTATATCATAATGAAGAATAAATGCATGGTAACTGTTTATATTCCTTTTATTATAATATTTTGCCCCAAATGCCCTGGTACGGCCGAGAATAAGGAGATTCCGCTCTCCCTCTCCAAATGCTTTCACATGGCTACGCATATATAGCCCCTGACAGGGAAGTTCTATTCACTGCCTTCTCACACCACGGGTGTTGTTTACGAAATTCAGAGGACGAAAAGCGAATGTCCGGCGCTTTAACCGGTTTCCAAACCAAATCAATGGTGCACATGGGCTCCAGTATCCTGTGGGAACAAATGGGATGTGAACCAATTGTTGGTCACCGGCTTCCATGGTACTACATCTCTTTACGATGCTCCACTGCCTTGTGGATCAGACCTTCATGTCGAAGGCTCGGGGAGTGGACCCCTAAGAAAACTACCTGCTTCGGTTTGGGCACCTGGGCAGTATCACAGCCCTCACACATATCGAATGAGATTTGTGTGGCGCATATGTATTTGTTGTCTGCTTGTACCAATATCCATGTGTTAAAATTATAATATAATAATTGACTACTATTGTAGAGAACAAGAACATAACTGGAGACAATCGAATGTATTTGAACATACACAGTAAATACTTCATTTACAAAACGATAATCAATTGTCTCAAACTTGACTGTTCCTTTTTGCAAACATCAGTCAAACATCTCAGATTTCGTTGTTCTTACATTTTGATATCAATTGCTTACTGTTCGTGTTCTTTCTTTTTCGACTTTCTGCTGACAGACATTCTAATCCTGACTATCGTTATATACTACTCATGTCGATATAAGTAGCACACACCATACTATTATATGGATTTAATATTCTTAAGTTCTTTCCAATTTCTTAGTTACACTCTCTTACACTCAAAGATATTTTCAGTTTAATCTTGTATAATTGTTATTTTCTATTTTATGGTATGGTGTGGTCTACTTTACTTGTATGTAAGCCAAGTATGTCTGAAATATATGGTTCATACAATTGGAAGCTGAGATTATATTCTGAATTCAGTGGTTAGGGTTAGGTGATAAGAACTAGTAAGGACTCTAAGTTGCTTGTACCAGTCAACATGCCATTAGTTTGGCACAGGGATACTATGATATAAGCCGTGTTCTGATTAGTAATCATATCACGTGATAATTTTCTTGTACGACCGAGGATGAGAAGAGTTCTCTCTCCCTCTCTCTTGAAATACTCTTATATGGACATTATCACGGAAGTCCTACTCACTGGCTTCCCATGACACAGGTGTTATTTACAAAATTTAAAGGATGAAAAGCAAATGTTCAGAGCTTAAACCGAGTTACTGAGTACATATTTGCTGTTATATCTTAGTTTTAAACGACTAATTATAAATAAATAATAAATTAGACAATTCATCATGTACTTGAGTGTGAGTTACACAAAATTTGAAGGCTGATGATACTTTGGTGAATGAGAACTCCGGTGGGGACAACCAATTTATTGTTTTATAAAAAAATTACAGAATATTTTGATAAACTATGAGAACTATACATTAAATACCTCATTTGCACCGTTGGATGTCGGCTCAGTAGTCTACTGGTTAAGCGCTCGTGAGCGAGACGGATAGGTCCCTAGTTTGAATCTCGCTGGGCGGTATCGTGGATGAGTACTGCCGAGGAGTCCCATAATAGGACTAAACGGCCGTCTAGTGCTTCCAGGTTTTCCATGGTAGTCTAGCTTCAACTGACTCATGATTTCAACGATTGGCACCGTTAAACCATTAAAATCAATTTATGATATGAAACAATTTAATATCTTAGAATTTATTGATATTTCAAGTGAATTAGATTTAAAATACACTTACACAATTGAAATAAACAGAATTTTCTGAAGCACCAAAATCATTCAAAGCTGTTTGTTCCATTTTCACAGTTGAAGCTATTGTATTCACATAATCTTCTGTATGTACACGTAATAGTTCTGTACGAGTTGCATAACGTGCCTTTAGAAAAAAATACATATCCAATTAATGGAAATAAACAAACAAAGAAAAATAAAATGGTTATTTAAACTGTAATAACCTTCTCTTTTCTCTAATCAGTAAGTTATATCAGCGATGATTAATCAGAATTCTGATCTAAACATCTTCAGTGATAACATCAAAATGATCGAAACACCTGTGTGCTAAACTATCATCTAATTATTTCAAAGATGTTGTGTATTTGCACCTAAAAGGCCTCGTACGGTCGAGGGTAAGGAGAGTCAGTTCTCGCTATCTAAATGTTCTCACATGCCTATGTGCATACAACCACTGTCAGGGAAGTCATAATCACTGCCTTCTCATGGTGTGGTTTGTTTATAAAATTAAGAAGATGAAAAGCGAATACCTGGCGCTTCAACCGCATTCGTGGATATGGAGGATACACCAAGGGGATCGGAAAACCCTGATTCCAAACTAATGATGCATATGCGCTCCAGGATTCTGAGGGAACTAATGGTGTATGAACCTATTGTTGGTCACCGGTTACCATGGGACTGCATCTCCTAACGTTGTTCCACTGTCTTGTGGATCAGATTTTTAGGTCAAAGGTTCGGGGAGTGGCCTCCTAAGAATACCACCTACTTCGGTCTGGACACTCGGGAAGTATCGCGGCCCTCACACATATCAAATGATGAAATGTGGAGCATATATTTTGTACTTTCCTGTACCAATGTATTTGTGTTTAAACAAAATAAATGTTTAAAACAATAATACATTTCGAACAATCTGGTCACACATATACTTGTTAAGAGCATTTATATATAAAAATAAAAGGTCAACTAGACAGGAAACGGGGTAAGAATATAAAAGTAATTTGGAGGTATCAGCAAACTAGAAAGAAGAGTAAATTCAAACCTAGAAAAATTGCTTCTCATGAATATTATTAATAAAGAGGAATTTAACTTTCTAAAACCTATGGGTTCCGAGTACCCTCATTTATATGGACTGCCTAAAATTCACAAACCTAACGTTCCTTTACGTCCAATTCTATCAATGTGCAGATCACCTACTCATAATCTGGCTAAATGGTTAGCAAAGTTGTTGGATCCTTTCCGAAGACATCTATGTAAGTATTCTCTAAAGGATTCTTTTGAACTGGTTGATCAGTTAGATGATATTAATATCAAGGAAAAGACAATGTGTTCATTTGATGTAAATTCCTTGTTTACAAATGTACCTTTAAAAAAAACCATTGATATATTATGTGATTACATATCTGAAAACAATTTTCAATCACGTGTACCTGTAAAACTTCTTAAAGATCTACTATTACTATGTACTGACAAAGTTCAGTTCACTTTTGAAGGTGAATACTTTCGTCAGATTGATGGAGTTGCTATGGGTAGTCCGCTAGGACCATTACTAGCAGATGTGTTCATGGCACATGTTGAAAATCAGACTGATGAATTAATCGGAAACATGTCACTTTATAAGAGATATGTGGACGATATCTTAGTTGTTTGTGAGAGAAAAGAGGATATGTACGGTTTATTAAATAAACTCAACACTCTCCAAAACCATATTAGTCTCTCATGTGAAGAGGAGAAAAACGATCAGCTTCCCTTCCTAGATATACTCCTGAGTAGACGAGAAGATGGTTCAGTAAAGCGATCTATTTTTAGAAAACCAACGTGGACAGGTCAATATCTCAGTTATTATAGTTATTGCCCTGTGCAATACAAACGTGGTTTGATAAGGTGTCTTTTCAACAGACTCGACCGTATTTGTACCAATGACGCCATTGATGATGATGTTAAGTTGTTAAATAAAACGTTAATAGAAAATGGCTATCCTCTGAAATTCATAAATAGATGGAAAGTCCATGGTTCAGCGAGACCTACTATAGCCTCGGTAGAGAAAAAGCCTGTCTACATCACCTTACCATTCAGAGGTGATTCAAATAGCATTTTACTGAAACAACGACTTAAATCAGTCATCAATAAAACCTATTGCGCAGCAAAGGTCATCATCAAAGAAAGAACAAGGTGCATGCTTCATTCAAAACCTAAAGTACATGGAAACGATTGCGTCACATCCCACTGTGTTTACCAATTTAAATGTGTGTGTGGTCACACATACATAGGGAGGAGTAATCGTGATCTCAACATTAGGGTGAGTGAACATGTACCCAAATGGCTTCAGAAACAAATACAATCAAGTGACCCGATAAGAGCAGAGGATAAACATCCATCATCCTCTATTGCTAAACATATAATTGAAACAGGTCACAAGATTGATCTAAATTCAGCTTTTGTAGTGCTGTATAAAAGTGTAAAAGGGCGTATACTAAGGTTCATTGAAGCCTTAGCCATACGAAAATTCAAACCCCCTTTATGTGTTCAAAAACAGTTTGTTCTTACCTTAAACCTACCCTGGTAATATTGACTTATTATCCAGAGTGATTAGGTTTCAAATTGTGTTCACATTAATATTATTATTACTCTTATCATTATCCTTATCTCCTCTTACCCCGTTTCCTGTCTAGTTGACCTTTTATTTTTATATATAAATGCTCTTAACAAGTATATGTGTGACCAGATTGTTCGAAATGTATTGCGCTAATATATCACATAGTTCTGATAATCTTCGTCTTCTAATATCATTATCGAAAATAAATGTTGTACATTTAGAATTGATGAAATTGTTAAAGTGGAGAAGCTCACACTGAACTATCGAACAAAACAGTTACAGTTAACTTAATCCCAAACGCTAAGATTTTTTCTACAGACACAATTCACTTCTTAATGTCGTTCACTAAGTATTTGTTCAATTTTAGACAAAAGCTTGCATCTCTGTAACGTACGGTCCTAAGTAGGATCATGTTTAACAGAGGAAATGGAACGAGTTAGTAAATGTTGAAAACTGACTTCTAGGAAAATCGACTACTGAAAAGAAGAGAGTTTATTTTAAAATAGGAAATGAAAACATTTTATTTTAATAATCACAAACAATTCAAACTCATTTCATTAAATATCTTTAACCCTTGATTACTAGTATTATGACTTGTTTCTAGTTGGGATATTTATTCATTTATTTGAATACATATGCGCCACACAAGTCACTTGATTTGTGTGTGGGCTATGATACTTCCTGGCTACCCAAACCGAGGCAAGTGGTTTTCTTAGTGGGCCACACCCGGAGACTTCGACCTAAGGGTCTGATCCACAAGGCAGTGGATCAATGTTAGGAGATGCAGTACCATGGTAGCCGGTCACCAATCATTGGTTTATACACCTTTTGTTCCCTCAGGATCATGGAGCCCATATGCACCATTTGTTTGGAATCAGGGTTTTTCAACTCCCCCAGCTGGATTTCCGTGTACACCAACCCGGTTAAAGCGTCGGATATTCGCTTTTCGTCTTCTAAATTTTGTAAACACCCCCATCACGAGAACTCAGTGAGTAGGACTTCGCTGACAGTGGCTGTATACGCGTGGCTACGTGAGAGAATTTCGAGAGGGCATTTAGGAGCAGTTGGGATATTTGAACATACCAACAAGCATTGGAATAGCAGTCAATGATTTCAAGGATATGATACTATATCTAAATTTTTGAGACCTAAGTGACCTGGGTTCGATCCGTGATAGAGTTGGCAGAATACCCTGATGAATCTTAAATCTAGAAAAAAATATTCAAGGCATTTCGATTTTTCTTTTGAAAGTTCCGATGATGTAAGCTAAATTATTCTTCAATACGAAATTGTGACGTTCATTCAAAATTAATTTCTTTAAGTTATTCAACTTACTTCAATACATTTACAACGACGTGCAAGACCAAGTTGTTTCAAAACTGCATAAGTATGTTTGATACGTTCTGGATTTTCTGGATATGTACTTTGTATATAAGAGATTCATAAATTAAGGAAGTAGAAGAAGAAGAAGAAGAAGAAACAATCTTTATTACAATAATGATAAAACAACTTAGAAATTAAGTGTACAAGTAATGATAGAAATGAATTTTGATTATAAGTTAAGTAGTTTAATTACGTAACAAAGTCTTCTTAATTCTTAAAAACTTGATAACTTCGATTAATCACAGTCCACACTTCATGGCTTTCCAAATCATGAAGGGATGACCGATTTGTATGCTTATGTACATCAATTGTATAAGTCTCGGCTTGCCAAGTTGTGTATGTAGATATATGCAAACGGTAAGTGTAGTACATATTTCACCTTCTATTTAAGTAGATTTGGGAAGAGGAACAAGTGCCGATGGACTGGAAAGAAGGACACCTCATCAAGATTCCAAAGGAAGGAGATCTGAGCAAATGTGAAAACTATAGAGGTATCACACTACTGTCAGTACCAGTGAAAGTCTTTAACAGAGTGCTGTTGAACAGGATGAAAGATGCAGTAGACGCCCAACTTCGAGATCAACAAGCTGGATTCCGTAAGGATCGGTCGTGCACAGACCAAATTGCAACACTACGGATCATCGTCGAACAATCAGTTGAGTGGAACTCGTCACTGTACATCAACTTCATTGATTATGTATAGGCATTTGACAGTGTAGATAGGAGAACGTTATGGAAACTACTTCGATACTACGGAGTTCCTGAGAAGATTGCCAACATTATCCGGAACTCATACGACGGACTACAGTGCAAAGTAGTGCATGGAGGACAACTGACAAATGCATTCCAAGTAAGAACCGGAGCCAGACAAGAGTGTCTACTCTCTCCCTTCCACTTTCTTCTGGTGGTCGACTGGATTATGAAGACCTCAACATCTGATGGAAAACACGGAATACAATGGACAGCTCAGAACCAATTAGACGATTCGGACTTCGCAGATGACCTAGCTCTTCTATCACGTACACACGAACAGATGCAGATAACGACAGCCAGTGTAGCAGCAGTCTCTGCATCAGTAGGCCTCAACATACACAAGAGGAAAACCAGGGTCCTCAAATACAACACAGAGAACACCAAACTAGTCACACTTGATGGTGAAACTCTGGAAGATGTAGAATCCTTCACATACCTGGGAAACATCATCGATGAACAGGGAGGTTCAGATGCAGACGTAAAGGCGAGGATCGGAAAAACAAGGGCCGCATTCTTACAATTAAAGAACATACGGAACTCAAAACAACTGTCAACCAGTATCAAAGTCACAATCTTCAATACGAACGTTAACACGGCCCCACTATGCGAAGCTGAAATCTGAAGAACTACAACAACCATCATCAAGAAGTACAAGTATTTATAAATAGTTGTTTAGGCAAGATACTCAACATACATTGGTCGGATTCCATCAGCAACGGCCTTCTGTGGGAGATAACAAATCAGGTTTCAGCTCAAGAGGAAATTAGAAAAAGACGATGGAAATGGATATGACATACATAACGCAAATCATCAAACTGCATCACGAGGCAAGCCATAACTTGGAATCCTGAAGGGAAGTGGAAAAGTGGAAAGGCCAAAAAAACACATTGCGTCGGATAATAGAAGCAGATATGAAAAGGATGAATTACAACTGGACGGAGCTGGAAAGGATTGCCCAGGACAGGGTTGGATGGAGAATGCTGGTGAGCGGCCTATGCTGCTTCACGAGGAGTAACAGGCGTAAGTAAGTAAATGTAATTGCTCGTAAAAGGAATGTAAGATGAAAAAATATCTGTTCTATGTCTAAAACAATCAGTGGCCTAAACCATCAGGTCGAAGACATAATAAGAAGATACGGTAGCAAATACTAGCGAGAGGTGTCCATCAACCATATATGAGAAAGTGCTTAGGCTTATGTGTATGTTATGAAGTCCATGGAAGAAATTCTTTGTACCAATGGGACGCATGCAATGCGTAAAAGACAGTCAGTTGTATCAAATATGTTCGAACGGAACAGTGTCTATCTACCCTCCTAGAGTGAGTACATCTATGTGTGTACCAAAGGATGCATGGGTGAAAACTTGTGTGTTTGCATGTAACGTATATTTGCTCATAGAGTAAATATACCAATGTGTATACCAGAGGATTAGTGTGTGAAAACTTATGTTACTGGTATGCATATGGGCTATACATGTTCCTGATACGACACTGATGCGCCAGCACTCAGAGGTTCCAACAATTTCCACACGAAATCATGTCTACGCGGTAGGTTTTTAGGACTTTAAAACACGAAATCCAGCTCGAGAAAAGTCACACCGGCTTCACCAATCTTGAATGGCTAGAACTACACGCGATACTGTACTCAATCACATATATAAAAGTAGATATTAATTATATTTAACTTCCATATGCATACATGGATTTAAATGTGTATGCAAAATTATGTACATTAGAATGACAGAAAGACAAACTTCTACTTGTTTTAATGAGCATCTTCCAAAAAAAACTACTGATTCAAATCTAGAGCTGCTTACATAGTTCAGTAGCACGCTTCCTTCAAGACAGGAGAGAAAGAGTGGATTCAACGATTTCTTTCAAAGTTATCAATAAACGGTATAAGTGAATAGTTTTTCAAATTAACAGAATCCATAGTAACTAGAGGGTTGAAATTCGACCTTTGCATTCAGAAGGAGTCTGGAATAAACCATCCACAACCTTGGTAAAATCTTGAAGTTTCTCCTTTAATTAATTGTAATGATAATTTGGTGATCTGAACTTACACACTTTCTTTTCTTATATAAACTTCCAATTTTTTTTTCATAATAAGCAACAAAACTGATCAAACATTCTAAAACTATTACTTAAAACTTTAATTCTCAAACTTTCTCAGATTATTTATTTATTTAAACAGATAAATATTGATACAAGGAGGCACTGAATGTATATGCGCCACATAAATCATTCGATTTGTGTGACGAATGGGATAATGCCTAAGTGCCCAGACCGAAACAGATGGTTTTCTTAGGGGTTCACACACGGATACTTCAACCTAAAGTCTGATCCATAAGGCAGTGGAGCAACGTCAGAAGATGAAATCGCATGGTAGCCGGTGACCAAAAATAGGTTCATACGCGATTTGTTATTTCAGGATACTGGAGCTCATGTGCACCATTGATTTGAAATCAGGGTTTTCCAAATCCCCTAGGTGGACTCTCCATGTCTCATATTATAGACAGCATGTTATTAATTAACATTTAACTTTTCTAACATCATATTAATAATAGGAAATAATTAAACATATGAGCTTGCATGTGGTTGAAGAGAAAGCAACAAGATAGAATGAATAGTAATATCGAGTTTCTGCGAATAGTGGATATTCCCGATTTGTTTCATATTCAGTTTTTTTTTGATGATTTCATAATAAAATGATGGTAATCATTACTGAACATAAATATTAACTTATGGTTAACCAATAATTAATTTCGCTAAATGTATAAATTTATCATTATATTTTTTTTATAAAAAATTTACAACCCCCATTACTTTTTAAACTAACAAAATAGACTACTATTAAACTTTATGAGTAGTTAATCACTTAACATAAAAATAAATGTGTAAGCATATGTGATATTTATCATGGAAATATTATTTGGTTGAAAAAATAACTTACGGATCTTCCTCATTCTTATGATTTTGCATTCGATTGTCATAAACTAAACAGGTTCTAAGAAATAGAAAATGAAACACAATAAAAGTATTAAGTAACATACTTTACGGAATGAAAGCTGAATTGTAGTAAGGATTAAGGTGAGAATAGTTGTCAATGTGTGAAATCAGTCTGAGGATTAGAAGAAATCATTAAGGACTAGATAGAAGTTTATGAGTTATCACTAAACCCTCTGACAATACAGACCAATGATTCCTCCACATAAGAACTTTCATCTAAATATGATCGAATAGTGTCAGTATTTTGGCTCCGAGTTGATGTGAAACATTAAGGAGGAAGAATGTATTTGTAAAATTTCAGTGAATGAATTTGAGATAAATCCAACATTTCGCCTGGCAATATGGTACAAAACTTTTCAAGCGAATATAATCAAACATCAAAATTATCGAATAAAAAGTTTTCCTCTATATATGATCTAACCAACTTCTCTAGGTAGATCCATCGTGCCCACCAACCCGATTTAAGCACTGAACATTTGCTTTTCATCGTCTGAATTTCGTAAACAACACTTGTACCATGAGAAAGCAGTGCCTAGGTCTTCCTTTGCAGTCGCTATATACACGTGGTCATATGAAAGCATTTCATGAGAGAGAGAGAGAGTACTCAGCCCACTCTCGATCGTGCAAGGGTATTTCAATGGTACACATAACTCCTTATCATAAATCCTACACCATGATTGCCTAACAATTGATTTTGCTTTCTAAAAGTCATTTTAAATATTTCTTATAGAATATATCTTATTTTTTATATACCTAACTAATTAAGAAACTCCGCCTGTAGCTCTTCTAGAGTTACTGCCGGTCCCCAGCCCAGGTAAAGGAGGAGGGTTGGGTATGGGGATAGCGACCTCATAACGTAGAAAACTAACTCGCTCAAAAAACGCTAACCAGGACAGGGTTGGATGGAGAATGCTGGTGAGCGGCCTATGCTCCTTCATGAGGAGTAACAAGCGTGAAAAAAAACTAATTAAGAGCGTAAAGATAACCACAATTAGTATAAGAAACAATATTTATGTATAATAATGGTCTGGCCGCCCCTAGGTTTCTTCCGACCTACTCCTACACCATAGACCTTAACATATAAGTGAATTTTAGTTCAAGTCGTTAATATCACATTAGAATGGAGAGATAAAATTGAAAAAAAGAATATTACATGAATCTAAATAATAATGATATCAATGATAATGGGAAAGATTCGGAACACAGTTCAAGAAAACAGAATAAGATGTAGATGAGGGAATACTGAAATTCATAATCTGGAAAAAGCTAAATAGTCAATGTGTCCGTTCCATTATGACCGAATATGAACTATATCACCTTGTCTCTTTAACCATTTTAGTCATGATCAGATCGTAAAGATCTAGTGACATAGCTTAGAACAATAGTCAATTCTTTCATGACCTCCCACAAGTTCCAGTTTTAAATTATTGCAGCAGACATTCAACATCGATGTGGGTGGTGAGTGTGTGAAACAAATCTAACCACTTCAGTTGATTAAGATTCAAAGATACATCAATGAAGTTGACATCTTTACTTAATATCCTATATCTAACCTCAATATTCCTTACTCGATCATTCCATAATATGATAAACTGAGTTAATGAATAAAGGAGCATGGGTTGAGTACCAGATTCAAGGATAATTTAGTTGGAGTTTATGTCAAAGTAAATAATAAATAGCTCATACATTTTAAATCATTCGAGCTACACAATGGAACCTTTGATAAACACTAGCCCTTAAACACCAGAATATATAACAAAGAACAAAGCATAGTGTACACTAACAGCTTGTAACTACAACCTATGATATTCCTCTGTTCACATATTTGTTTCATATCATATCCTTTAATTCCTTGTCTTCCTCATTATCATTCATACTGCTACTACTTTAAGTTATTTACGATACATCCAGTCAGTCAGTTAACAACAACGTAGAACATCGTACATACATACATCAATTCGAGTTAGCACACCACATTACCACACAGATACAATTGTCCATTCAAATCCCATAGTGGCAGAAGTAGTAAGAGTATAAGCAGTAATCAGAAACATTAGGGTTTGAACATGTTATTCAAGGAGTATAATCCAGTGAAATAAATTTAGAAAGAGAAAAGAATAAAGGAACACGGAGAACTCAGAAGATTAGAATTTGGGAGAACACAAACAAAGGATGCACCTGCGCACACCATTGCAAACGATTATGAGCCATATTATTCAAGGTCTCTAACCATCATTTGCTATCGTCTCGTGGGTCCTAACCAGTTACTCTACATCTACCAACATGACTCAGTCCACTTGTCAGTGACTTCATGGATTTGTGCCATGTTTTGGCCTGGCCGCCTCTATGTTTCTTCCAACCTACTCGTACACCATAAACCATCGTTCGTCTGGGTAGTCGGTGGTTGGGCATACGTAGCACGTGTCCTAACTATCTCAACATGTGAAGTTTCACTACTTCATCAGATGATTTTCATCTCGTTAGTTAGTACATCTGATTATATTGATATGATTTAATGACTAAAGTACCGTGTATTTCTGTGAGATTCTACCTTAATTATAACTGACTGAAACGACATCAGTTGACTGGAAACACTTTAAATAGTGTTACCATAAATAATATACAAAGGGAAATAAATATACCACAGGCAAATTTTAAAAACCAAACAAACAATTTCATTTTACCCAGATATTCTATTGTTACCAGCAATTGGATGAGTACTTTTCAAATAATCAAATCTTTTCTCTATGCTTAATCTATCTTCATCACTATGATGTTTATCAGTAGGTTCAAAATTTGGGACTTTCACATCTGACCTGAATTTTTGTTTTTTAGAAAAAAAAGCAAACATAAGTAAATCATTTCTTTTTCTTCATGATACGACAAAACAGGGTTGGTATCAAATGATTGGTAATTCCGCCTGCAGCCCCCCGGGGCTACTGCCGGTCCCGAACCCGGATAAAGAAGGTATATTTTGTATGGGGTTGGCGACCCCACCTCACTAAAAAAACGCTAGCCAGAAAAAGTAATCCGAACCATTTAAACCATGCCCTGGGAGTTAGGTCTTCATTTAGAAGAGTTATGACGCCTCATGGTGAAAACTGAGAAGTCACGAGGCCGATGCCCGTTCTGACAACCAGAACAACCATTAACTTAGGCACATGGAATGCTCGTGCAATGTTGGAGAACGAGAGAGTCTTCCAAATTGCTGTAGACATGAAGAGATACAACCTGGAGGTGCTTGGAATCAAATAATTTATAAGTTTAATCAGTTCGCTCTATATTAGTTTTTCAATAGTTATCAGTCTAAGATTAGTTCATGATGTAAACTACGAAATCAAATGATCTTCAAAAAACTCGCTATACTACTAATAATAATCATATGTTCATTGATGAGTAATTTTGAAATGATTACAGGAATTCTAGTACAAAATTGTAAGCAGTGGATTTTATCACGTTGGAAGTGAAACAACTATCTGCCAGCGGGATTAGAAGATGGTTGCTCAATGTAACGAATTGACTAATTTTAGAAATGTAATCCGTTCAACACCAACTTAGTGGCATGAAAGTTAAGAGATCACTATGAACATAAAGGTCATAGATGAACAGTGGTAAAAGAAGTTTCATATTAGGATGAAATATTTTTCCCGCACCCTAGTTTTCAATAGGTTTCTAAGTAAAGCCATTTGTGTTGTAAACTATGAAATTCGACAACATTCACGAAAAACTGTGTAATCGCTTTTTTTCTTCTATAAATACACCTCAGATTAATGACTTGGGATATAACTCATTATAATTAATAAGAACAATAACATCTGTTATTTAAAAAAGAAGATTCTTACATATGAAAACAATTGACAAATCTACCATGGGAGTTCAACCAGGTCTGTTGTGAGACAGTAACTCACTGAAGACAATGATGGGTGTGTCGCTCAATTTCGTGGATTAGTTGAAGTAAGACACTAACACAATTGGATGCCGGCAAGTTCAGCGGTCTAGAGGTTAAGCGTTCGTGATAGGTCCTGAGTCCGAATCTCGCGAGGCGGGATCGTTGATGCGCACCACTGAGGAGACCCACAATAGGACGAAACGGCCGTCTAGTGCCTCCAGGTTTTCCATGATGGTCTAACTTCAATTGACTTATGTTCTCAACTATTAAAAATTACTATAATGTCCACAAAACCCATTCTGATATAAATCTATACTTACTGTATAAGACGATTGGTGGAGATTGTAGGATTTACCTAGTTAAAATCACGAACAAATCTTAGCTAAATCATTATTGGAAACCAGAAAGCACTAGACACCATCGAGTTCTAAATTCAGTAATCGAGAGATTAAGATTCCGCGTAAGGGACTAAAGGTTCGACTCGTTGTAACAGAGTCGTAGGTGCGCACTGTTGAGGGGTACCATATTAGTGATGAAATGCCCATCGAGTATTTCCTGGTGATTTGACCAAGATCAATTGATGATTTAAGCTGTAAATTTTACAATCTCCACAAATCCCCTTGTACTAAAAATGTATATTTGTCAACAACAACAAAAAAACACTTACCAACTTTGTAATTTTAAATGACTTATATCAGGGAATGGTACATTATCATTTAATAGAGGATAAATATGTAAAAATTTCCAACGAAAACTTAACGTAGATATACAATTGGATATTGTTTCCAAAACACTGAGAGAGAAAAGAACAAAAAATATATACAAAGAATAAAATTATAGTTATATAATATACCCCTGTGGGTCAGGCTAATTATACATTGGTTTTCAAGAGAACCAGACACCATCCAGACTTTCACGTGACAACCCAAACAGTACAACTCAATCCCGTTTAACAGGAGAGCCAGAAGCCGCCCAAGCTTAAATTTTATAACGCGAGCAGTACAGTTCAATCTCTCTTCACAGGAGAACCAGACACTGTATAGGCTTTAACGCCCCAATCTGAATAGTACAGCTCAATCCTGTGGCGCAACCACACATTTTGACCTTCTAAATTATTAACTCAGCAATCCTGACTGTTTTCAATTGAGTTTATGTGTGTGCGTTGCTCACCTTATTCATCACATGGCTTCAACTTATTTTCGTCTGGCTATAGATATTGAATCATACTTGATCAAATTGTGTTGGCGCACTTGCATTCCCCAGTCTGCTTCATCGCCCCGTTTCTCTTATTTTCTGTTTGAGATAACCAGTGTATAAAATATACCTTGGCAAACTTCATTCTCGTATTTGACTTATTCCGTTATTCTCTAACACGAATTAAGCCGATAATTATATGAGAGGGTAGGTTGGATGTATATTTAATTAACATCATCGTTCGACCAAATTGGAGTCGGACTAATGGGCCACTAAGTCTTTTTTGTTACCACTGTTACTGTAACTACTCCTACTACTCTGAGATCCGCTGTAACAATTTCATCTTGCAGTGCAAATGAAGTATTGCAACTTGAACCGATATACATATATACAAGGTTTTACGTTGCGACTGACTAAATGACTGATAGAGTACTATTATCAATATATTATGGAAACTAACCTTGGATTGATTGGTTTCATTGGATCTAAAGATGGCATTGGATCACCTAACAAAGCAGACAAAGTATGACCAATTGATTCACTTAAAGTGTCGAGATAATAGCCACCCTTAAAAAACCAACGACAACAAAAAAGTTTAACAATAATAACAAGTGACAGTAATATAAGCAAATTAAAAAGAATTCATAATCGAATGATAGGAACTGGAACTACTTTTCATTCATTCAAAGCACAAATAATTTAAAAGTAGCTATGAAGTAAATGAATAGTATTTTTTTTAAACTCTTACTCAAAACCTTCTCACGGAGAGGTGTGTTTTTATGAAAATGAGAAGACGACAGGCAAATGTCCGGTGCTTCAATCGTGTTGGTGGTTAAAGAGGATTCACCTACAGAAGTTGGAAAACTCTGATTGAAAACCAATGTTGTGAATGAACTCCAGTATCCTGAGGGAACCAATTGTGTATGAACCTACTCTTAGTTACCAGCTACCATAGAACCACATTTCACAACCCTACTCCACCACCTTATGAATTGAATCTCTAGATCAAAGACTTGGGGAGTGGTCCCCTAAGAAAACAATCTACTTCGGTTTGGGCAACTAAACAGTATTCTAGCCCACATACGAATTCAATGACAACTAATTTGTATGGCGTATAAATATTTTAGTTGGTAATGTACCAACATTTATATGTTCCAATAAAATAAAATCAACAATTTCTTTTCGAAAATCATGTTTTATTCCGTGAACTAATAGCAGTCCCAGCAACATGAACACAGAAGTTTTACTTCTTATTTTATGATACCATAGAAGAGTGTGCAAGACAACGATGACAACTATGCAAGAAATTGAAAACATTTTCAACAATATACATTAAAATACATAGATTTTTAGTGACTAGTTTCGAACCCAAGCTTATATATATATATATATTGATTAAATAAATAAACTTGTCATAATGACTAATAAAAAAAGAGATGGCGAACAGGTATTTTGTTGTGTGTTACTGATTTCGACAGATATAAGTAGTATGTATCATCAATCGAAAGTGAAACGCTTGAAGGCAGAAAGTTAAGATGAAAGAAAATAGAACAATAACAAACAAAGATTGGTGTAGAATCGAAACAACAATGAAGTCTGAGACGATTGGTTGACATTTGCAGAAGGAATAGTCAAGTTTGAAACACATGATTGACATTTTACAAATGAAGTATATACTCTATGGTTCTCAGATGTTATTAAGACGTTCTGTAATTTTGTTTTCAAATACATTCGATTGTCCCCACTTGTGTTCTCGTTCACTACAGTATAACTAAAATGACAATTCACTAACCATACTTCATAATCTGCTTTGGAGCTTCGGAAAGACATTAACTTTACATACCTATATAGTAATAGTCAAATAGCTTATATCTAGATCTTCCTCTATGTACATGTCTACAAATAGTAAAGACAGTTGGTAACGCAACAAATTCAAACGATATTAGCTCCATCGACTATTCTTCTGATGACTAATGAGTCAAATATTAAAACTGATACGTCGAGACTAGGACCACACCTATCAATCCTCACTTGACCTATTCCCAAATTTTCACGTCCACTTTGTGGCCCAACACCGTGTAGACCGTGTAGCCAATTATGAAATAGCACAGCACATAGTTAAACACTTGTTACATTTTTTAAAAAATTTGTTAGTGTAACTTACTTCTAAGCCGACAATAACTTTCCCTTCAGCAATCGCCATAAGTTTATGCGTAAGATGAGCATATAAAGAAGGGCTAAGATTTAACTGTCCCTAGGGAAAATTGTTTTTAGCAAAATAACAAAGAATTATTGTAAGTAGGATATATTCAGTTGGTAATTCTAAACAAATGACAGGGAAATTATAAAATAAAATAAAAAATAAAAAACACTGAATGTAATTAGGGACAAAAGCGAGTAACTAAGAAGGTTGGTGTTAAGAGAAGGGTTTCAAGAAGAAACAGTTAGTCGGTAAGTGACGGGTTCGTTCCGTCCTGCTTTATGGCAGTGAAACATGTCCAGTAAGAGTAGAGGATATTCGTAGGTTACTAGTATTCGATCGAAGGTGTCTTCGAAACATTGCTCGTATAACCTGGGAACATCGAGTAAGTAACACAGTTGTTAGGAAACGAGTACTAGGTAAGGATGGCAAATCAATTGATGAAGTAGTGAAACTTCATCAGTTGAGATGGCTGGAACACGTGTTACGCATGCCCAACGACCGACTACCTCGACGTGCGATGTTCAGTGGTATAGGAGTAGGTTGGGAGAAAGATAGGGGCGACCAGACCAAAACATGGTACAAGTCCATGAAGTTACTGACAAGTGGACTGAGTCATGTTGGTAGGTGTAGACTACCTGGTTGGGGACCGCGAGATGATAGCAACCGATGGTTAGAGACCTTGAATGATATGGCTCAAAATCGTTTGCAATGGCGCAGGTGCATACACTGTTTGTGTTCTCCCAAATTCTAATCTCGTGATTCCTCTTTGTCTCTTTTTTCTCTTCCGAAATTTATTTCACTGGATTACAATCATCAAGTAGCATCTCCAAACCCTAATCTTTCCGATTACTGCTTATACTCTTACTACTTCTGCCACTATGGGATTTGAATGGACAATTGTATCTCAGTGGTAATGTGGTATGGTAACTCGAATTGATGTACGTATGTACGATGTTCTAGGTTGTTGTGATCGACTGACTGACACTTTGATGGAATTATTTGGTTACTAATCCTTATTTATCTTCTATCTTAACGCCCTACATTAGCATTAACTGGAACAAAAATCTTAAGGAGGTGGGGGGAAAACAAAAAAACTGATCAAAGATCAATCGATTTTTTAACTGTTTATATGTATGAGGATATGATACTCTTTTTTAGGTTCGCGCCATCAATATTATTTCACTTAAACCATTTCCTTTTATTTATCCAGCCAAACATAAACAAAATAGAGCTTTGAATTAAATTGTTACAGTACATCGATACTTTAGGATGAAATTGTCAAGATGAATATCAAATTTACAGAAGTAGTAACAGTAGTACCTGACAATCAGTCAGCTACAACGTAGGACCAGGCACATATACACATCAACCCAAGTTGTCAGACGTAATACCTGGTAGAATGTTAAAATTTGATTTCTATACTTAGACTACCTTATTAATATAAATTCGAGAATTTGTTAATCCAAAAGTCTGAAAACTTAAAAAACTAAGTCTAAAAACCTACAAAACATCAAACAAAGGTAATTGAAAACCATCTCGAAATTTCATAGTTTCTTTTTTTCTCTCTTTCAGATTTCTGACTACGGAGTCATTTTCTATTCATCTAATCATAGTTTCAATGTAATTTCATGAACGAAGGAAGTAGTTGAAGTTAGCTAACTCTATCAGTCATAAATTACCAACATACAGCCCCAAATAACATGGTACGGTCGAGGGTGGAGAGAGTCAGCTCTCCCTCTCCAAATGCTCTCACATGACCACACGTATACAGATACTGTTGGCGAAGTCCTACTCACTGCCTTCTCGCGGCATTACTGTCGTTTACGAAATTGAGAGGACGAAAAACGAATGTCCGGAGCTTTAACCGCATTGTTGGATATGATGGATCCACCTAGGGGATTAGGAAACCTTGATTCCAAACTAATGATGCACATGGGCTCCAGGATTCTGAGGGAACAAATGACGTATGAACCCATTGTTGGTCATCGACTACCACGGGACTGTATCTCCTAACGTTGCTCTACTACCTTATAGATTAGACCTTTAAGTCAAAGGCTCGAGGTGTAGCCTCCTAATATAACCACCTGTTTCGGTTTTGGCACCCTCACACAAATCGAGTGATTTGTGTGGCACATATATATTTGGTGCCTCGTTGTACCAATATTTATATGTTCAAATAAACAAATAAGTAATACAAAGATGAGAAGTAAATTAAGCGCGAACTCATTTTTTTAAAATTCGCTAATGAAACATAAAAATTCTAAGTGGTTGTGATATGGAGATACAATCAGAAGTAGCCTAATGAGAAGGTTAATCGATGGCAATCAGAAGTGACCTAGAGGACAAGTGCACTTCATTGGCTAAGAGATGGACGAATTTCCTAAAAATTAGAGTGGTATACATATGAATGAGTATTTGTGCATTTTATTCTGTAGCCAAATACACTTCCTCACTCAAGTAGTCAGTTAAGGGGGGGGGGGCTAGTACACTGTGTATTAATATCAGATTTTGAACACCGTTCATCACAACAACAGTTGTCAAATCTCCTTTCTTCAGTCTCTTTCTTGTTTGCTTATCTTCGTGCCTAACAGTATACTTACTTAGCTTACGATGATATATCCAAACATTTTACGAACTTATGACATGTTACATTTACCTATTGTAATGTGCCAATAATTTTATATGTTACTTCATTGATTTTGTAGGCATAGTGTTTAGTGTCCGTTGACAATTTCTAAAAACTGATCAATACAGATATGTACTGTATTCTAATTCATAATATCTGTTGTAATTTAGTTAGTGACTAACTATTTGAATGATTTGCTATCTTTAAGGTTGTATTTTTAACATCTGAATATCTGAGTGGTATCAATAATTGTTTTCATGAATAGTACAGTTGTCAAATGAGAAATTGCATGTACCGATTTCGAAACTTGGTATATCACTCGAATCTTCAAAAAGACTCGATAGTAGTAATATGTTAACTCGTCATATTTAGGTCAGATGTCTCACACCGTTTATGAATGAAGAGGGTATGAGTAAACCAGTTATTAACTTCATAGAGAGGGACTATCATAAAATAATAATAATAATAAAAGTCCTTAATATGTTAATGGAGTGTTTACTTACCACAGGACAGCCAAATGAAGAATCATATCCAGCAGAAACAAGTACTAATTCTGGATCAAACTGAGAAAGAATGAAAACAGAATCAATAGACAGAAAACTGTTAGTTAAAGAAACTAGCATAGTAGCCAATATTATGTTTGCTTAGTCTTTAATAAATAACCGTAATCCATTAATAATTAATTGGAATAAGAATACTAGCCCAAATAGCTGGATATAGTAATGTACTTCATAATGTTAATTGATTAGAGACAATAGAGACCGACTAATTCAGTGATAAACTTTCAAATTGTGATGGTATGATGATAGTTACAGGAAGATAGTATATACGCCGTTTCTGATGAATGCCAAATACCACGAGCCCTAGAATCCAGGACAACCAAAACACTTCCTTCAACCAATGAAAATCAGACAAGCACTTCAAAAGAAAATGATGAAAACGATGGTGTGGCCGTGAGTTAAACCAGGTGACTAACCGAAAGTCACGGAACAAAGATGTATTCTTGAGGAATCATCGGTGTGCGCTGGTGAGAAGTCCCATATGAGGACGAAACAGATGTATAATGCTTCCTGGTTTCCAGAGGAGCCGCAATCAAGATCAACACAAAAATTAAACTGATCTCTACAAAACCTTTTCAACTAAAAATATAGTTATTAGACCTACTTCATACACTTATTTTAAATACTGGAAATCTCTACAAGTAATCTAGATAGAAGTGTAAGATAAACAGAAACCTTTTAGGTTGTTTTTTACAATGGCTACTTGGCAAACTGATAAGATATAATGATTGTTCATTGTAATCATGCTACTATAAATGACGTTATTTGAAACTTAGGATTGTCGACTTGACATGACACACTTGCACATAGATCATGTTTATTTTTTCCACCTCTTGAGATTAAGTTGAATAAAGTAGTTCTTCTTTTTGGAACATCTTTCTTACTAAGAATTATATCAAACATTATTTTCAGTGTTCGTTTGCCTACCAAAGAACGAGTTCACTACCACGTAGTTTGTTCAGTCGCACTCTATGATTGAGGAACGTGGTCTTTAGGGATAGAGGATGTTCGTAGGTGATTAGCATTTGGTATGTATACCTTCAAGATATTTCTCGTGCATGTTAGGACTAACGAGTAAGCAACAGTGAGGTAAAGATGACAAATCAGTAGATGGAATTGTGAATCTTGTTCGACTGAATTAATTGGGACATGTATTAAGTGTGCCCAACCATTTCATACTGCGATCTGCGACGTTTGCTGGTAAAAGAGCAGTTTGGAGGAGAAGTAGGAATGACTAAACTATGACTAAATTTTAGTATACCTATGACTAAACCTCACCTCGTGTCGAAACAGAAAAACTGGGCGACTTATTACACTCTGCTTACACTCAAAGTTAGTTGGGGCATGATCTCGTAGAAAGTCATGCCTATGTGTTATTGAAAGTTTTCATACAAAGACGAAATAGCCGTCAAGTTACTTCTTTAATATTCGAAATGATGTCCCAGATAATATAAACTCATGAAGATTAAATATTTTACGTCCTATCGGCAACTCAGACGCGTAGAACCCCACAGTCGCAGATCAAACGACGGAAGAAGCAGGAGAGGAGAACAATGGGTAGGAGTCAAAAATGTAGAAAACAGAGGTAGTTACAGTTTTTAGTATGGACTATAACATCATTATAATCCAGCTAATCCGTAAGTAGGAAAGATATACAATTTCTCAATCATAACATGCCATGTTGATTTTCTAGAAGGCTGATTGGATGGAAACTCTTCTGTTTTTTAAGAGCTTCTAGAGAGTTCGTCGTGTTTTTTGGAAGCCGTTTCAGTAAAGCTGATACAGGAGAAGTCTCCATCAATCCTACTCTCAACAAAAACAATCATGCATTTCCATGAGTGAAATGGAATTTTCCACATTCTAATGGATATGTGATATAATTGGTATAGTTGAATTGTGTCACGAGTGAGAGAGTTGTCATTGATGTCAATAGATGATGATCATAATACATGAGATTTGTGTATTACATTAATTATGAACAATGAAATTTAATCGTACGATTCTTCACCCTTTATTTGTAAACGTAGTTTCCTCTCATTGATTGATACATTTTGATGTGCTCAGCCATATTGAACTGATCATTTTTATGCTAGACAATGACTGCATTTATAGCCTTGAATGTAGGTTCAACTTAAGCTAATTATCATTTAATGTATAACTATTACATATATATTCTGAGAAGCCAATAGTTTTTTTTGACTTCAAAAGATCTCAGTTGTGTTATCTTGGTGAATCTGACACGATACCTATAGCAAGTCGGTTAAAGATAGAAATAGGAACTATTAAATTTAAGAGTCTAGAGGTATTGTTTTTCACGGTGATGCAAACTGCTGAAAAAAATCTTCCAACTTGGAAAGAAATAGTTGTCTATTTTAAAAGATGACAATATATACATTCCATTGAACAATTTAATATCAATATAGTGTGTAAAGTAAAAGAGTACTTTCGAGTAAATATCCGTATATATACTCACAGATCTTGTGTTGCTTTCAGTTTATTAGTTAAACTGCATTAATTGGTCATGATAAAGGGAAAAAAATATACCATATTTACCTCATAAGCCAAGGGAAGAACAATCCGATGAAATATAGTTAAGTAATCGGAATCACCAATATCTTTCTAAAAGTGTACAAAATGAGACAATTAATAATAATAATAATAATAATAATAATAATAATAATAATAATAATAATAATAATAATCGTTAGTAAAAGTAGGAGTAGTAATAATAATAATAATAACGCAATGTGCAATGAAGCAATCTGCATTACGATCACAGAACTAATAGGTTTAGTGTTTTTCGAGGTGAAAGAAGTCGAATTGATTTAGTTCCGTTCCTCTCTCTTGTAAATATATCTTCAAATTATTTTTATTAGAAGACAACAACAGTGAATTATATGCACAACTAAACATCAAGAACTACTGAACATGTCTTCAATGAAAGAGAGAGAGAAAAGCGGAGGATATCGTTAGGGTAATGAAAAACGAAGCGACACAGAGAAGGTAGATGAGCCTATATCGATTTGATTAAGCATGATTCAGTATCTATAGCCAGACAAGAATAAGCTGAAGACATGTGATGAATAGGGTAAGTAATGTACACATGCGCTTCATTATAAAATCTGACATGAAAAGAATGAATAAAGAGGTCTGTTAGGAATCTAGAATAATCCATGTGAGTTTGATAATAGTGTCAGATAGCATAATACATATATACACATACATACAAAAAGAAAAACATACATCATTTAATGGAATATTCACATTGAATCCACGACCACGACCAGTACCAATGAAATCATAATTTGATTCACGTAGATTAGGCCAAAATTCACCATTATCATACCGATGAATTGATATGAAAAGAACTCTGCGTGTATATACATAGATATATATCCATGATTTCAATAGAGGATGAAGGAATAAGAGAAAACATATATACACAATGAAAACTAAAATCTTCAAGAAAAAAATAAGGAACTAATTAATTGTTGATTCAATTCATGTTGGTAGATATGGATGTATTCCATTACAACTATATCACCTATCTTCAAGATGTATATGAGGAATAAAGTACATCAACTACTATTTCAATTTAGTATTATCCCCATTATATGTGATCAAGTGATTAAGTGAATTAAAACAGTAAACATAAATAATCAATCAGTTAGAATGGATAGAATGGGATATTTACAAAGTCAAAAACTAGTTGATGCCGAATCTGTTAAGACGTCTAATTGGACAATTGAGGAGTTACACACGAAATCAAAATTCACAAAACAGATTTTTCTTTAAAAAAAAGTTCTTTAATTAATTAGTTACAAGCCTTAACTTGTAAGGTATCTGTAACGTTTAGCGAGTTTTTATGTTCGAAAGAAAAAAGAACAAGGCTTCCTGCAATAATAACAAACAGAATAATTGTAACATATGATAGTGCAAATGAAAGCTGATAGCTCACTATGTCTAATCTTGATAACAGTTTATCAACAAGTAAAAACATAACCAAAAGCAAACAAATATGCTTCCAGGTTTTCTATGGTGGTCTAGCTTCAATTGACTTATGAATTCAATTATTAAATATGGAAATCGTTGCGTTGAAACAAAGATTAAACGCTTTTGAAAAATACTGCGGATAACTGCTACAAGGATAAATGCAATAAATGTTATAAGTACATGTAAATACTTTAGAAAATTACACAATAAACTGGCGCCATAACTTACGCATAGACATTGATAGGAATATAACTGTTTACTAAATATTAATAAGTAGTATGAAACAATAAACAAAAGAGTTGAAAGGGAGAGAATAAGGACAGAGAACGTGAACAAACCTAGCAGTTGATCTAGAAATTTGAGGAGATCGCCTTAACCTATGAGAGTATAAAATCTAGAGATAAGTAGTGTGATTTGAAAAGAAAGAATGAATATGCGAAATAAAAGTACGGAATAATATTGAAACGAAAATCTAGAATATAAACGAATGAATGAATCGGCATCATCCTCATCTTGAGTTAGGTCAGTTAAGATTTCCAACCAGTAGTTATCGATATCTTACGGGCTACAACTAGGTGGTCGACATATACCAACGTGAAACAGACCTATAGTTAAAGGTTTGATAGAATGATATTAATTCTTGGTTTAGTCGCTTCCGAATTTCCATCAAATAACTTTTATGCCAACCAAGATTATGTAACGAGAGAGACTAGTTGAACCTCTGTAACATATATTATTAGTCTACAAAAATCTAAAGCCTTAACGACCGAATTCCTATTTTCACCTAGTATTCTACATCTAATACTAATCACTATGGCCCCACAATATGAGAGTAACGCTTCAAACATGTTTATAATCAGGCATTAATAACCTCCATATGTTCTCAAATTTGAAAGGCCACTTTTACAGCCATAAATTGAAAGTTAGCGAACAGCTGCGTATAGTAATAACTCTTGGTAAGCAAACGTATGTCTCACCTGCTTCACAGGCATCACAAACTAGCAAAAGCCAAGGAAGGATTCCTCAGACACTAAATAAAGCTGGTGATGCTTTCGGGATAGGCGGAGTGAGTAACTCGTTCAACAGTCCAAGAACCAATACAAATCAATCCTGAAGAAGGATTTTACATTTAAAGGTGAAGAAACTCATCCAAAGTATTCATATGTTGTAACTCAGGACTACACATTATGTTAAGATTTCCACCAAACAGAAACATATAATCTGAGTACTACACATCGACAAGTAAATATACTAGCACGAGGTCAATCCTTTGAAAGTCGGACGAAAGAAGTGTTATTTCTACAAGTATATATATTGGTATAAGATCGTATACAATCGGTAAAAACAAAAAAACATACACTTACTTTGGATTATCGTAGAACGCATATTGTGTAGTGTTTCCATGATGTACATCCCAGTCAACTATAAGTATACTATCCAAGAAGTAACAAAATACTTTACAATAAATAAAGAGATAAAATTCAAAGTATTGTCAAATTAGATAATTAAGAGAATACATGAAGAAGAAAAGGAAGCGGCGAGACAATAATTTATGGCTGAACCAATCAGGTATAAGATAACAGATCTCAGATTTAGGCGCAAAATTCACTCATCCATTTGAATAAATTGAGTTTTTTGACATTATAGCTGATGACAGTTCATGATTAAAACCATAAATCTAATTCCTAACTTTGAAAATCAACTGAAAAGCATAATTCTAATCCCTCACAATGTTTCATAACTCTCATTTGGTCATTTGGACACTTTCGAAATTACTTCAGCGTCACTCAAAAATCATCCATAAATTATAGTCTCATCAAGTAAACACTAGATCAGTACCAAAGGATTCCATGTTAATGATTAGTTTATTATATGTAAAATACATTTCAGAGTTACAAAACAGATATTTGTCTGAAAATACAAAAAAAATTATTTAAGGAAAAATAAAACAATGGCCAATAAGAGTTGAAAATATTCGGAAGCTACTAGTAATTGATCACAGATGCCTTAGAAATATTGCTCACATCTGCTGGGATCACCGGGCAAGTAATAGTGAGGTTAGACGCAGAGTATTAGGGAATGATGGTAAATCAGTTGATGAAGTTGTGAATATTCATCGACTGAGATAGTTGGGCCATGTGTTGTATAGCCTGAACACCGACTACCACGACGTGCATTTCTGACTAGTGTTGGAGGCGGTTGAATGAAAGTTAGGGACGGTCAAACTAAAAACGTGGCATCAGTCATTGAAGTCACTAACTTCTAGTCTGAGCCATGTTGGTAGATGCATACTACTTGGTTGGGGTCCGCGTGACTATCGTAACCAATGGTTGGAGACTCTCGGTGATATGGCTCAGAATTGATCACAAAGGCGTACGTGTATACACTCTCTACCTTCCCTTAAACCGTGAGATTCAAATTGCTTCCTGTGCTATATCATTATATACAATCTACCTTTTATATATTACCACCGCTGTGTTAATGAGGTATGGCAACTTAGACCGATGCATGCATGTGCCTGGTCCTATTTTGTGACTGACTGACCGATGAATTAACGAATACCATTCGATAATGATCTTTGTAAAAGCCCAATCTAATTGTCTTTTTTTCACACATAAACACGAAATGAACAACGTTTAACTTTGAGGAGAAGTAGGAAAGAATCTAACAATCTATCTAACAAAATGTAACTACTTAAGGAACCAAGTACAATTGAGTGTAGTCAACTATGAGTCAAACATTTTGTGTAATGGGATCAAAAATATTATCCAGTTGCTTAAAATGAAATACGTGAAACGGAGTACGAATCTCTTTAGAAACTAGATACAGTTTCATATGTTTAACATGCAGCAAATTTAATTGGAAGAATTCAGCTATTCAGCAAGGAAAATTTACGCATTAGTATACCTTTGAATAAAACTAGCAACACGCCATTTCAGTAAGAAAAAACATATTTCTGGGAGAAAGAAATGTCTTCATCAAGTACGCTTGTCAAATCACTTAGTAGACATGTAGTAAATTGACTTGGCTTGAGATGAGGTCACTGTCATCAAGTACTACTGAACTGATTAGTGTATACAGAATAAAAGCGTAATAACACATTCTTATCCTTATTTATTATTTATTTATTTTAACAAATAAAAAATGGTACAAGGAGGCACCAAATAGATATGCACCACATAAACCATTCGATTTGTGTGAGGGACACGATACTGCCCGGGTGTCCAAACCGAAGCAGCTGGTTTTCTTTGGGGGCCACATTCGGAGCCTTTGGCCCAAATGTCCGATCCACAAGGCAGTGGAGCAATGTAAGGAGATGCAGTCCCATGGTAGCCAGTGATCAACGATTGGTTCATACGCCATTTGTTTCTCCAAGATTCTGGAGCTCATGTGCACCATTGATTTGGAATCAGGGTTTTTCAACTCACCTAGGTGGACTCTCCGAATCCACTAACCCGGTTAAAGGGCCGGGCATTCTCTTTTCGTCCTCTCAATTTCGTAAACAACAGTAATGCAACGAGAAGGCAATGAGTAGGACTTTCCTTTCAGAGGCTATATACGCGTGGCCATGTGAGAGCATTTGGAGAGGGAGAGCGAACTCTCCCCACACTTGGCCGTACCATGGCATTTGGGGAAAATACATGTCACGAAATAGTTTCACCTACTATATATACCCATTTTTTTAATCAATACACTGACTTTTAATCACTGATTACGGAACCGCTGATGTTTACTATTGTAGGGTATACTACTTATGTCGACAGATATAAGTAGTATGCAACACCAATCGGAAGTGGAAAACCTGATAGCAGATGGTTAAGATCGAGTTGAAGAGATTAGAAACGAAAATAAAAAGGAATTGTGGACTGGAAGAATCATACAAAATATTAAGGACAAATGATGCAAATTTGCAAGTGAAGTATTCAGTGTATGGTTCTCATATTTTACCAAGACATATTGTACTTTTGCATTTAAATACAACTGGTTGTCCCCACCTGTATTCTCGTTCGTTACACTATGAGCGATCTCCATTCCTCTAGTTTAGACGATTACTACACTTTCAATACGTCAATATGCTTCAATCTTATTTATGGTGAATTATGTCATAAGTTTTTTCCACTGGACTATAATTTATGGGCAAACCAATCAGATTTAAGATAGCGACCATTAAACTCCTGAGCGAAATTCATTCATTCCCAAAGTATTTCGGCATTGTAAATTAAATGTTACTAACATACCGATTAACAGCTCAGTCAAATTGGAAAAATAAGAATAAAAATAACATGGATAATTCACTAACCGATTGAAATTCAATTGTTCAATCGCATAATTCGCTGCGATCGCTACATTATTGTATATACAAAATCCACAAGCTTCATTCGTCAGTGCATGGTGACCTGGAGGTCTGACAGGTTGTTTATGGTGAATGGAAGGAGAAGGTGAAAAATATTCATTTTAGAAAAAGGACAGTAAAATATTCAAAGATTGAGAGTGAATAAATAAAAACTGACTATAAATGAAAAGCAAATAATTCTTGAATGATGAAGCTAAAACACTGAGAGAAAATCAATTGACAAGCTTATTAAGCTGATTCATATCAAGTGTGGTGTAAGCCCCTCATGTGTGAAGTTAGCGAGATAATGATAATCTATGGTTGACAGTTGAAAATGACGTGAATCGAGATCGGTAGCAGAGAAAAAGACATATTTGTTTAAACTTGGTGTTGTTGACTTGTATCTTCACATTGTTATTTAGGACTGCAATTAATCGGTCTCTTGTTGGCATATGTGCATCCTGTGTGGACCGCCTCAATACTGCCTGAAGTTACAAGCTTTATGAGCAAAGATGGATAGTGGCTAGCGGTGGAATCCAGGACGCGTGTTTCGTCTTGTTTGGGACTCGTCATCTGGATGTACCTGCATGAGTTTATCTTCACTCTGGGACTCGAACCCAGTACCCTCCGCTTCAAACGCCATCGCGTTATCCACTTAGTTACTGAGTCCCGATACAAGTAAACAATACCAAGTGAATTTAAACTTCACCCCATTGCACAAGCAGGTGGCTATCAGGACTCAGTAGCTAAGTGGGAAACGCGATGGCGTTTGAAGCGGACGGTACTCAGTATACATAGATTTTTTCACAATTTATATATCTCACCTTTTCAATAAACTTTTTCAATATCTCATCTTCACTTTCAATTATTATTTAACTACTTCCACTCATTTCTAACATATCTTGTTGATTTTTTCACTTCTTGGAGCGATTCGTAATGTCTAAATTTGAGCCATATCTTACGTTAATAATTGACTACTTGGACAACTACGAGAAGTTGCTTAGTGCCTGAAGCATTCGACTCCCAGACACTACGAAGTACCAGGCTCGGACCCTGCTGTCTACATCAGTTTGAGAAACTGATTAGTATCACTAGGTGCCACGCTTAGAACGTGACTCAAAGCCACATACAGATAACTGTACCAGGTAAATTAGTCCAAAAAAACTCGAATCATGAACGTGGTGATAGTAAAAAAGGATTATTTGGTGGATGCCACCCATGATTCAGCTTTCTAACTGCCATTTTACACCTCAAGGGCACCACTTTCCCTTTTTTTATTCCAAAGAATCAATTAACTAAATTAAATCCAGTTAACTTATTTACAAAAAATAAACCTACTAAATTAATTAGTCACATACCTGACTAAACAGAAAGCATTTCTCACATCTCCCCGATGTATTAAATCAATAGCTTGTATCCATGATCCAACAGATAATCTTGCAGAGAGGTCAGTATGCTTTATATAAAGACAGAAGAAAGTTAAATACTTCATATTGTGAATTTTACACCAATAAGGGATGCTATCTTTTTCGTATTGTTGATATTTTAGACCAGATTGATCAATCTCTGTTCAGTCATACACAATATACAACCTAGTATATATGTACATCGGTTCAACTTACTTACGCCTGTTACTCCTCGTGAAGGAGCATAGGCTGCTCACCAGCATTCTCCATCCAACCCTGTCCTGGGCAATCCTTTCTAGCTCCGTCCAGTTGTAATTCATCCTTTTCATATCTGCTTCTATTTCCCGACGTAATCTGTTTTTTGGCCTTCCTCTTTTCCACTTCCCTTCAGGATTCCAAGTTAGGGCTTTCCTCGTGATGCAGTTTGATTATTTGTGTAATATATATCCTATCTACTTCCAACGTCTTTTCCTAATTTTTTCTTTAGCTGGAAGTTGGTTTGTTCTCTCCCACAGAAGGCTGTTGCTGATGGTATCCGTCCAATGGATGTCGAGTATCTTGCCTAAACAACTATTTATAAATACTTGTACTTCTTGATGATGGTTGTTGTAGTTCTTCAGATTTCAGCTTCGCATAGTGGGGCCGTGTTAACGTTCGTATTGAAGATTGTGACTTTGATACTGGTTGACAGTTGTTTTGAGTTCCGTATGTTCTTTAATTGTAAGAATGCGGCCCTTGTTTTTCCGATCCTCGCCTTTACGTCTGCATCTGAACCTCCCTGTTCATCGATGATGTTTCCCAGGTATGTGAAGGATTCTACATCTTCCAGAGTTTCACCATCAAGTGTGACTAGTTTGGTGTTCTCTGTGTTGTATTAGAGGATCTTCTTTCCCACAGAATGGTGTTGCTGATGCTATCCGGCCAATGGATATTGAGTATCTTGCTACATCGATTCAAGTTGCCACAAAACGTAAGCACGGTGAGATACCACAGCAGAAGTAGTAGTTATTATCAGTGGTAGTACAAAAGATTAGATATAGACAATATGATTCGAGAGGAATGAATTTGTAGCATAAAAACTGTATGATAGATTCAGAACGTAAAATCTACAGGAAAACAAAGAGCAAATGTATCTGCACTGTTGTAAAAGATTCTGAACTATGTCACCCAACGATCCCAATCACTGGCTACGATAGGCATACGGACCTCAACCAAACAGTCTTTATCTGACAACATATACAACATTCAATAACTCTAAACACTGATCCCATGTCTTGGTTTAAGTGTCCTTAGTTTCTTAGGAACTAACTTCTACTCCAGCCATCGGAATAGGTGGTAGTGAGGGATACACAATAAACGCCTCAAACATCTCAGTCGATGAGGACTCACCACAATAATTCTCCTTCAGCTTACACAGAGTCATTAGTGTAGGAGTTTCTGAAGATAGTGCCAAAATAAAGAATCAATCCTTTTTCGTTCTAATATGGAACTTCTAGCGTCCAAATATCCCGATACGGCGGAGGGTGGGAAGATTTCACTCTCCCTCCCGAAATGTCCTCATATGACCACGCGAAAATCTCCACTGAAAGGGAAGTCTTACCAACTGCCTTCTCATAGCACGAGTGTTGTTTACGAAATTCAGAGCACCAAAAGCACATATCTGTTACTTAAATCGAGTTGGTAGATACAGAGAAACTAACAAGGAGAGTGGAAAAACTGTGATTCAAAACCAATGTTGTGAATGAAGCCCAGTATCCTGAGGGGACCAGTTGTGTATGAACTTATTCTTAGTCAACGACTACCATGGAACCACATCTCCCCAACATTGCTTCACTACCGGGTGGATTGGATCTCTATATCAAAAGCTTGAAGAGTGGATCCCTAAGGAAACCACTTTCTTCGGTTCGGGCAACTGAACAGTATATCAGACCACATACGGAATCAGTGGTGACTACTTTGCTTAGCGCATAAATATTTTGGTGGCCATTTGTACCAATGATTACGTATTTAGATAAATAAATAAATAAATGGGACTCCTCAGTAGTGCTCACAACCCCACCGGTAATCGAACTTAGGACCTTTTGATATCGTAGCAAGAGTTCAACCTTTAAACAACTGACCCAGCATCTAGTGGTGAGGTCGTGGATGAACACTTCTGAGAAGTCCCAAACCAGGAGAGACCAGCATTCCAATTTTTACGTCAATTCATGATCTCAATAATGAAGTTAGCGTCAATAATAGTAAGAGTTATTCATTCTTTCAGACATATGCATACACATGGTAATGAAAATACAATCATATTTACCTTATTAAAATAAACAGAATCTAATGTAGCACTTAATTGTTTTAATTCATTATCTGCCATTGTTGTTGTTTGATTAATTTGTTCAACATATTCAGTTTGGTGATAAAGTGTGAGCAAATCATCAGTTGCTGGTTCAGGCTAATACGAAATTGTAAAAAGAGAGAAAGCAATGTGTAAAATAACTCAAATATTTGGAAAAGTAATGTTTATTCTACTTGAGCCATTTTATTCCTCGTTTCCTCCCTATTCAGTGTCATGTGTATTATATCATATTACTTGCTAATATTCAGTAACTTATTTCATTTTAAATCATTTTTGTGCATATAACTATTTGGTTGGGAGTCCGCGTGGCTATCCTAACCAATGGTTGGAGACGCTGGGTGACATGGCTCAGGATCGATCACAATGGCGTCGGTGAAGTAACTACTTCTATGAATTTGGTGTTCATCTTGTTGTGCTAATGAGGTAGGGCAACTTGGACCTACGCGTATATGTGCATGGTCCTATGTTGTAGCTGACTGACTGATATGGCATATTGTCAGAATGAGAGTTTGTAGAGACTGTAGTAATTTTAATAGTTGAATTCATGAGTCAATCTAAGCTAGGCTACTATTGAAAACCTGGGATCACTGGACACTTGTTTCGTCCTAGTCATGGATCAATTAAATTTAGACATCAACACCGTTAGGTGCCCGGTTCAGTGGTCTAGAGGTTAAGTGGTATCGTGGATGCACACTGCTGAGGAGTCACATACTAGGACGAAACGGCCATCCAGTGATTCCAGGTTTTCAATGGCGATCCAGTTTAAATCGACTTAAGAATTTAACCAAATGGCATAGGTTTGTTCCAAGTACTATCTTGCTTGTATTTTTTTAGAAATCCTTAACAGCTTATCTCCATTTCTTTTGTGTTTAACGAACACTTTTTCTATTTGTAACAATTTCTGTATTTAATGCATATCTTCTACTTTTATGGGCTACGTTTCACAGCCATAGGGTAATACAGATCTAACTGTCGAGTAGCGTACTTCTCGATTAATTGATAGACAAACATCTCGTCTACATCACAGATGATGCAGGTTGTACCTAACATGAATAGCAATGAAATGTAAAGAATTAACAAATGAAGTAATGGATAAACCACTTACATTTATTATTAAACAACGTGATAATAGTCCATAAGTTGTACATTTATCTATCGTTGCAGAAAAACGTTCAGGACATTCCACAAAATTCGGAAACCATATATTCTTATGCAATAACATACGTTCATCGTATATAAAAGCAGTTCTATATATATACAAGCACAAAGTATATAATAAGCCCATTGAAGACAATTATACACAACTTACCCTTTATCATGTTTGTCAAAATACTATTTTTTTTTTGGTTAAAAGAAGAAAATTGACAGGTTAGTTATTTTACAAAAAATGTGTATTTTTGGCTTACATCATGTCTACTATTGTCAGATGCAGTAAATATAAATGGTATATCTTTATCACTAAGTGGATTACGATTTTTACGTCGTGCACTACCAGGCTAAAAATGATAAAGAAAGAAAATAAACTTGATTAGTGAAAATTAATGGAGAAGGAGACGTTAGAATTCATTACGTAACATCAACTAATAAAGAAATTCTATTTATAAACAGATTTTTTTTCAAGGATTGACATCAAATGAGAAGTATTGAGGAACGTTTGAAAACAATAGACAATTTTCGTGTTTTGGTAATAGGATCACTTAGAAGTGCACACATACACACACACGAAAGATATTAAGCCCATGACCTTAAGATCTCTCGAAAAATACTTAACCTCTAAACCATTGAATTGACACTCAATATCTGACACCGAGAACACATCGTGACATAGTGCACAAAACTACTGAAGAGTCTTATATTGGGAAGAAACAACTTACTGATATTATCTGATCTGCAGTAATACTCAAAAATGATACCAGTCAATGATGGAAACCAACTTCAGATCTAAAACTGTTTTATTTATAGAAAGAGTTTATTCAGAATTGACTGAAAAACAGAGAATTGATCAAATGTCCACGGTGACACACATTCAACCACATGTGAAAACTCAAGTTGCATTCTCAGTTGTCGACTGTCATTTTTTTTTCTGTGGCTATATTACTCACTAGTCATCAATGTCCATCCCTTTTTTGTACCTAACTGGTTAAATTAATTATCGATGAACCGGTCATTTTCTTATTGGTTGGAACGCATTTTGCTTGGACAACCATTTTGAATCTGTCATTTTTCTACGTTTGACCGATTTGTGACAGACTGTTGTTGCCTTATCACCTTGATTGTTGATTGTGGCCCCGAATGACCTGGTACGGCCGACAGTGGGGAGAGTCACCTCTCTTTACAACTGCTCTCACATGGCCACGCGTATATAGCCTCTGAAAGGAAAGTCCTACTCATTGCCTTCTCGCTGCATTACTGTTGTTTACGAAATTGAGAGGATGAAAAGTGAATTTCCAGCGCTTTAACCGGGTTGATGAATTCGGAGAGTCCACCTAGGTGAGTTGAAAAACCCTGATTCCAAATCAATGGTGCACATGAGCTCCAGAATCTTGGAGAAACAAATGGCGTATGAACCAATCGTTGATCACTGGCTACCATGGGACTGCATCTCCTTACATTCCTCCACTGCCTTGTGGATCAGACCTTCAGGTCAAAGTCTTTGGGTGTGGCTGCCAAAGAAAACCAGCTGCTTCGGTTTGGACACCCGGGCAGTATCGTGTCCCTCACACAAATCGAATGGATTATGTGGTGCATATCTATTTGGCGCCTGCTTGTACCATTATTCATGTTTAAATAAAAAAATAAATTTAGTAATTAGTACAATGACCAATTAAACACTGACGGTTAAAAGTTACGACACCCTGAAAAATTGCTGTCTCATTCTGTTGAGTTGACTGAAGAATAAGTTACACGAACGTACAAAATAAAAGCTTTTTTATTATGGGACGATGACTGGGGGAATAACCAAGACAAATTCTCGCGGCTATAGAAGGATACAGAACCACTAAGTGAAACTATCAACCAATGATTAGGATCTCGTTTAAAACTGTAGGAATTTGTGATGATGAGATAGAATTTGATATGATGGAGAAGGTCTTAACTGATTGGAGAGCGACTGACTTACAAAATTGATTTCTTCCAATTGTTTATGACATCTAATCATGTTATATTTTTGTTAATATTTTGAATATAAGCGTGTAATTTTCTTAGAAATGAACTCTATTTTTTGGCTAATGATCTCGTCCTTGATCTTAAACTATTCGAGGGAACGACTAACACACAGCCACATTACATTAATGCATTCCATCTATCGATCAGTTTTCCCTCCTTTTAACAATCGAAAATTTGTTCGTCAAATATTACAGATACAGAATATGTAGCGACAACTTTAATCACAACTGTAATACGATACATAACAGGTCTAATTGCTTCTAGCACACACACCCCAAGCAACCATAAAAAGATCTTGTTAAGAAGATTGGTTAGATAAGACCAAAGAAGATCGATTTTACATTCAAGCTGATTCACTTATATATTAATTCCGTGACAATTAATTATTGGAATTTATTAACTGACTGATTGTTACTGAGTACAAAATCAATGAAATAATTATAACAGGGAAAATGCACTGAGAATTAAGTAAAGTCAACTGACTTATACTGAAGGTTAACGAATAGGAAATACAAAGATGTGTTTAAATAGACTGAGAGAAAATCACTTTAAATCGATAATGCGAAAGTAAGATTGAGCATAAAACCAAACAGAACTAACGGGTTAGTGAACACGCTGTCGTGGTTCGGAAAAGGTATATCTAAAATAATACACAAATGTTCTATCACACTTGGTTGATAGCACCTGTGTAGTAAACAGAGAAAAACCAATTTAGAGTAATTTATAGTATACCTAATAATTTTTCTTATGGAGTTTGACCTCGTCTCTTACACATAGCAGTATCTATAGGGATTCCAGCTAACAACTCGTATTTGTATTCATAATAAATTAGTAACTCTCTTCTCTCTTCCCTAGCTGGACAAGACTCAGCTAATGGTTTTACTTACTATTTTTCTCAATCCTCTTTTTTCCGTCGTTCTACCTTAACAAATATATGCTTTGTATATTTCTGTCTACGAACTAATTCTCTCTTTTTGTGCTATATCCTTTTCTCTTATATACTACCACCATTGAATTAAACGCTTCTATGAATCTGGTGTTCATTTTGCTGTGCTAATGAGGCATGGCAACTTGGATCGATGCATATATGTGCCTGGTCCTACGTTGTAGCTGACTCACAGTCTAATGATCATGTAACTTTGAGAATTTTTAATGAGTGTTATTTTAGTGTCTATTTTTCCAAGTCTTTGATCTACTTCCTATCGTAAAACATTGATCCAAGCCTTTATCATTCTTATCACAACTAGTACATCCGTCATTACACCTAATTCGTAGATTTTACTTATTATATTCAGTTATTCAATCTATTTTGTTGTTATCACTGACCTGAATTGTCTTGATTAGTTTGATAATTTCATATACGCATATAAATATCATTATTAGAATGAAGCCTGATGATGATCTGATTAAAAACAATATTTTCCGCTCATATATGTTGTTCTAAATTAAGATTGCTTTTCTTTCTTGTACGTTGTATTTGAGGATACAGGATCCTCAAAATCATAAAATCGTATTTGATAACATAAATCAAATCAACCACAGTAAACCTGTTAGTCTATAGTTTAAAGCTAGTCAAGATGCCTAAAATATGAACTCTCTCCTCATTCCATAAACCCACCCTTTGACTGGTGGATTCAATCATTGTATTTGTTTATCTTTTCTAATGTAATTAAAATAGGCACGATAACTCCAATAGTGCTAGGGATTAAGTTAGCGGGTATTCGATTAAGTGAGTGGATCTTCATTATTTATCCGCTTGAGAGCTCTTCTCACAAATATGAAGGTTTAACACAGCCTATTTCTAGAAATTGCATAAGTATCTGATGAGATTTACAACTAAAAAGAGATACATTGTGGTAACGTACTACTTATTTAATCCAATATATAAACATTGGTACAAGGAAGCAGCAAATACATATGCGTCGGATATTCGCTTTTCCTACTCTCAATTTCGTGAACAACAAACTCACCGCGAGGAGGCAGTAGGACTTCCCTAACAGTGACTATATATACGTGGTCATGTGAGAGCACTTCGAGAGGGGGAGCTGACTCTTCCCAACCTCGATCGTATCAGGGCATTTGGAGGGACACTAAACATCAAACCATAGTATGATTATTACACACTAAGTGCTTTCGAACAATCTTAGTAGACCGATTTTCAACAATAAACGACGAAAATGTCGGAATTTGAGCATCCTTAAAAGTTAACTTGAAATCAAAGGTTGACAAATAAAACTTACAAACGATGAATCTGATGTGTTTCCTGACATTTGCGACTGGACAAAATTTAACTTCCTGTAAAACCCGGTTTTTTTGTTAAATTATTACTAAAATTAAAAGTAAGAAAATAAGTGTGGTTAGTTGAATTGGGATTAAAACGCGTTTTGGAGTGTTCTTTCTTAACCTCGAAACTCTCCTATTAAATACACGTGTAATTTGCTTTGGTTCATACTTGTGCAACACTAAGCCGAGTACATGAACCCCTACAGAGTTGAAAAATGATGACTTGCATCATTGACACTACAACAAACAAATTAATTAGAACGTTTATATACTTGCTCTGTAATAACAACTATCTCCTAGCAAACCAAAAGTATATTGATAGAGAGTATACATAAAATTACTAGCAAGGTGAAATTAGTCAGTTGTTAAGTATTTAATGAAATAATTATTAGTTTCTACGTCCAACCATCAACTTGGTAAACTGACTTAATATTTATTCTTCTGTTTCACTTAACTCTCCCAAATTAGACGTTAGCAAATGGTTTAAACTTGACCTTGACACTAATAAAGGGATAATAGTTTGTCTACGAATACTCCGTCAACATATCTAGTGATCTTCAGGTATAGTTTTCCATCACTTTTACGAGTATACCAATCCGACAAAATCAACTTAAGTGGCGTTTGTTTGAGTAACCATCAAGAACTTGACCACAACCGCAGTAATGGAAACGGCCTTTTGTGGGTTTGTGGCCTAAAAATCTACATAGCCTAGTACCAATTTTCGATAATCACAGTGGGTTAGGAAACGTCATCGTAATGTAACTGAATTCTGTTATGCGAAGAACTGTAAACCGCGTACAGACCTGGAAGTCAGGTGGTCACAAAACACTTCAAACTTGCAATCCGCACATAATCAGTTGGCAATGAATTTCCGTAGGTACGGTATGTGCGTTGCACCTTTGAAGTGCAAAGTTTAAACATCGAGAATTTCCTTCAGAATTTTACAATTTAGAAATATCTCAAAGCTAATGCCTTGGCCTAGACTAGTACAAAACAACTTATCTTCTTCCCTAATGGGCATCAAACAATATAATTTTTCTACTAATTTACGCCAAATAGTCCACTATAATTCGAATTATTATTTTCCTTCTACTTTTACATCTAATGTGGTATGACAAATAATTTAACTCTATAATTTTCCCATAGTGCACTTTTAGGAGCTTTGTAAAGTCTTATATTAGAAAATTAAAGAGGGAATCCAACCAAAAGAAGGACCAAACCAGCTTACGGTTACTAATGCTAGTAGCACCACGATTGATTTGGCGCTTAGATTTGTACATATTTAAGTCTTCAAGGATACGCAAAAGTATCACAGTTTTTCTACGGAGCATGCAGCAAATTAAAGAAAAGAAAACCCCGGCGAAAGAATTATTTATATATATAATTACTGACACTGAATCTACCAGCCCCACTGACACCCATTTTCGAAACCAACAGGCTAGATTCCGTTAAGATCGATCATGTACCGACCAAATCGCGAAACTAAAGATCATTGTGAAGCAGTTAGTTGGATGGAATTAATCACTCTACATCAACTTCCTTCACTGCGAGAAAGCATTTGATAGCGTGGAGAGGACAACACTATAGAGGCTTCCTCGACACTACGGTGTGTCTGAGAAGGTAGTCAACATCATACAGAATTCCTATGATGGACTAAACTGCAAAATAATGCATGAGGGAAAGCCCACAAGCTCGTTCGAGGTAAAGATCCGTGTCGGGCAAGGTTGCTTAAGCCCATACTTTCTCTTTCTCCAGGTGATCGACTGGATTATGAAGACAACAACATCTGATGGGAAGCATGGGATATAATAGACAGCTAGGATAAGCTGGACGATCTAGACTTCTCAGATGATCTGGCTCTTTTATCACATACGCAAAACCAAATGCAGGGGAAGATGTTCAGTGCAACAGCAGCCTCAGCAGCAGTAGGTCTCAACCCATACAAAAGGAAAAGCAAGATTCTCCGACACAACCCAACATGCATCAATCAAAGCATACTTGACGGAGAAGCTTTGTAAGATGTAAAACCTTTTACGCATTTGGGCAGCATCATTAATGAACACGGTTGATATCGTACAGATGTGAAATTGGGGATCGGCAAAGCATATCTACAACTGAAGAAAATCTGGAAGTTAAAACAACTGTCAACCAACACGAGTCAGAATTTTCATTGCAAATGTCAAGACATTTCTACTGTATGGGGCGGAAACTTAGAGAACTACGAAAGCAACAACCTACTGTGAGAGAGAACAAACCAGATTCCAGAGGAAGAAGGAATCAGAAAGAAGCGCTGGAAATAGATGGGACAAACATTAAGGAAATCACCCAACTGCGTCACAAGACAAGCCCTCACATGGAACCCTCAAGGCCAAAGGAGGAGAGGAAGACCAACGAACACATTGGGTCGAGAAATGGAAACAGACATGAGAAGAATGAACAACAATTGAATAGAACTAGAAAGGAGGGCCCATGACAGAGTGGGTTGGAGAATGCTGGTCGGCGGCCTAAGCTTCATTGGGAGTAAATGACGTAGGTAAGTAAGTTAGTGAAGTATACAATGAGGTACAAAAAATCAATCGGTTCAGCACTGATTTCGTCTGTCAAACAGCAGCAGTAGCTTGCAGAACCTCATGAACCTTATCATACATCAGCTTCACATACGCGCTAAAATATTTCTTCTAAACACTTCATACGAATATTGTCCGAGAAGGCTTGTTCTCAGGAGCCTCTGCACTGTTCTCCAGATCTTCCTGTTTTCGATTTGTTCTGGTAGTAATAAAAGAAACGGAATTAAAGTTCTCACTATTATTAATGCCAATGAGTGCCATTCAATACTTCTGGGCGATGAAAATATATCAGCCATGATGACTTGCAATATCCCCTTTGACTTGTTCACCATTTCGGAGACTGTAAGTGGGTCATTCCACTTGCATACAGCGGTTATTATACTAGAAAGGTGAGCATTCCTCCCAATCTACAACAGTCGTGCTGTCTGTCCTGTAGATCCTTGTAGGCTTTTTCTGTATGCTAACAGACAACGTGGTTGTAAAGTATCCAGTGCTTCGACCTCTCCGTTTAAACAAATTTCTCAATAATGCTTTCAAGGTCTTACTGGCTCAGTCTTCTAGTCCATGGTCTTCAAGATGCTAAAATTTAGACAAAGTTCTTTTAACCTTAAACAGCTGGAATAACTCCTTCGTCAGAGTACTTTCAAAATTAGATCCTTGATCTGACTGTAACTGATCTGGTGTTCCTATTCAGGCGATACCTTTACCAACATACCAACATCAGTTATATCAAAGAGGGTAGCTTTACACTATTTCGTGAAACAACCTAATATAGTCAGCGTAGACCTACACCCTTTTGCTTTATCTCGTAGTGGTTGGATTATATCTAACCTGGGATTTCTTAGAGGTGCGGCTCTTACACATATTAACAGAGCTCGCTGGTTCTTAGTTGGGTTCTTCACGTGACCACAAACCTAATAATTATTATGCAAATTCTGAATATGCCTCTGTTGCTACAGCCGTCAGACTCTCAGTGACTCCGGGAGACGTCTCGTATTCTCCGGCATCTTTAGGATTTAAAACAGTTAGTCACTATGATAAATTTCGATGAACATATACCAAAATGGCTGCAGAAACAAATGAGTTCCAATGATCAAATAAGATCACAGGATAGACAGACATCATCCTCCATTGCGAAACATTTGATTGGGATGGGTCATTTGGTTGACATCAAGTCAGCGTTTGTAGTGTTATACAAAAGCTTTCAAGGACGCATACTAAGGTTTATTGAAGCCTTGGCTGTACGGAAATTGAAACCCTCTTTATGTGTTCAAAACAATTTGTTCATACCCTTAACCTACCCTGGCAGTACTCATTTATTAACCAGAGTGGCCATTACATTGTTTTTGTGTACTTTATTATTATTAATAACTTTTTCTTTGTTATGACTTACCGTTAACCTGTCTAGTTGACCTTTTATTTTTCCTATAGAAACGTCTTAACAAGAATATTATGTGTGACCAAGTAAATATATCACACTATTCTGATAAAGTTCGTCTTCTCTTGCAGTATCGAAATCTCCAAGATTCCTACGAACGTTTGTTAAAGTCGCCGTGATCATCGACTGTAAAGTTACTACTTGTGTATTATGTGGTCTTGACTGTACACATAGGATTCCTTCGATTTAACAACACTCATTAACATCTTGTCCACAAATTTTGGTTTCGGCTTCTAATTAAGTTAGACTTCGTTTATGGTCACCGACGGCTTGACACAAATTTTCTTACGTTAAGTGCATGAAGATTGTTTAAAAGTTAAACAGAGTGGAATTGTCATAATGACGAATTATTTTGCATAGTGATATTTTAACTTCACAAGTCCCTGATTAAAAGCTTAACATATGGGCATTGCAAGTAGTTAATGCACATAAATAGAAAAACAATCAATACTGTAGAAGTGCTGATATTGGTATTATATTTGTTTTAAATTAGAAAGTCGTTTAATATCACTATGCTGTCTGTATGTGCTGATATCCAATCACACATGGGTCAGTAGGCTAACTAGAAGAACAGAAGAATGTCCGTAAGGAGTAGGAATCTCAGTTAGCGTTTCAGGTAGTTTAGTATGATTCATTTATTTTGGGGAGATTTTCCTGATCTCGTTATTGTTTGCCCGTGACAGAATTCAGTAATGCTACTAATAAATATAAGCCGTTGTAAAAATTCATTTAATACCTGAAAATACTGACAATTATGTGAATCTCGGACAGACAGCCATCGATAGTTCAGTGAATGTTAATGCATCCGAGAAAGACATACTCTAGATTCAATGTTCTGGTTTGCAACAGATCAATTATTTATATTCATACATACCGGTTAATGGTGTACACAAGGCAGTTGCAATTACCAAGTTTGTAATAATACAGAGGTCTATTTTTATGAACTTCAATGACTATAAGGTGTGAAAGTCAGTTGAGCTTATGGGCTACAAATATAAGTGAGATGGTTTTGTATGATCCTTTTGGCTAGATCAGTTTTACAAGTTGATAAACAGTGAGTGATGCTCATGTGATCAATGGGGAAAACATTAGTTGTGATTAAGGGGAGTACAACTCGCAATTATGTTTATAATAATGGCATAAACCTTTGTCAGTGATTGTCACTGGTGAACACTTTTCTGATAGTTTGCTGTGACCAGATCACGAGTGGGAACGCCGCGCTCAACAACCCATGCAGTCGCTAGCCGGATTAGATCAGACGACCCTCGATATATTGATAGCCTATTAAATATGTCTTCGAACTTCCTCGCCTCTGTCTTTTGATTTCACTTGGTGGGTACGATTCATATTAGAAGGCGTTACTGGTTAACGTGTTGTCAAACTCCAAAAACCTGTGGCATCTTCACCATCAATGATCACTCCATCCTGGAACTTTTTTATGACCTGTTGATTTGACTTCAACTGGATGTCAACACAATAGACATTCCCAAAACCTTCGCACGTAATTATCGACTTAATTGAAGTTGGAGAATAACGGAGTAAAATAAGTCAAATACGAGAATGAATTTTGGATCAGTATATTTCGTACAATCGTTTGTCTAGATAGAAAATCAGTTAAACGAAGTGGAGCTACAGATCGTAGAAGGCAAGTGTGCAAAACTCTGTCTGCTTTGACTCGTTTCTTACCTATCACTTCTCATTCTGAATGTTTCTCTGGATTAACAAGTGTATGAAATAACAACTCACTGAAGACAATGGTGTACGGTGGTGCAACTTCGTGAATTGGTTGAAGTTAGACATTAACACCGTTGGATGCCGGCTCAGTGGTCCAGTGGTTAAGTGCTCGCGCGCGAAGCCAGTAGATCCTGGGTTCGAGCCCCGCGTGGTGCGGGATCGTGGATGCGCACTGCTGAGGAGTCCCATACCAGGACGAAACGGCCGTCCAGTGCTTCCAGGTTTTCAATGGTGGTCTAGCTTCAACTGACTCATGATTTCAACCCGTATGAAATATACTGATCGAAAATTCATTCTCGTACTTGACTTATTCTGTTATTCTGTAACTCGAATTAAGTCGATGATTACATACGAAGGTTTGCGGCATGTATGTTTTGTTCACATCATCGCTCGACGTAACTGGAATAATATGGACAGGTCAAAAAATGGTGAGCTTGATGTGATGGACGAGGTGAGCGATGGGTACGTATACGCTGATGTAAAAACAGTCTAGTTTAATAAGCGAATAACTGACAATATCAAAATGTGATTTAAAAAATAGATTATTATTATTATTATTATTATTAGCTTTATTCAATATTATAATTTTGGTACAATATAGAATTCTCAGCGCAAAGTATTTCAACAAGTTTCCGTTTCTTTCTTCTTGGTCGGTCCTGGCGATAAATATTGAGGAATCGCCAGTTAGATGTTAGCACTTCAGTGAATGAACAACTGAATAATGTACATTCTTTTCGTTGTACATTGCCAGCAACCATATTGTCTCTTATTAAGTTTTCTGTAACTTTGACAACGAAAGGTTGTACACTTTTCAGAAACGCAGCAGAATAGGTTATGCGATTAATAAACATAATGATATATTAAAACAAACAACAATAGATAACTTGTTGAAATATCTAGATGGCAGGAACAGGTAGCCCAGATGCTCAAGCAGGCCGCCCGTGTCTATCCGAAATCTAGAGTTACTCATGTGTGTTCGACATAGTGTCACATACCTAAACGTTTACAAAGTCCCTCCTGGTTATCTTGTGCTTAAAGATTAGTCACATAATCCATCTTTCACAGAATATATCTGATAGATGTTCCCTTATTTACATCTTTTATTGATTTTCGAACCCCTGAAAGTATTAAGCTGTCGGTGGTGATCATGATCCAAGTTAACTTGTCGGCCGTTAGACGAATAGTGGAATAAGCACTCAGCTCTTCGCAACAACTGTACGACATAGCTCTCAGTCGGAACAATTTCAACGAAATGTGATCGAGAAAGAACTTAGGGTTGCCAAGAAATATCATTTATTAGGTCCGAAAGCATTAAAGTTGAAGTACACATGGAACGATGAGAAAATGGAAAATATAAACTCTGTTCTATAGATTAGAAGTGACGAGCATGACATACCCACTGGTGACCTGACATGGATACTTGACCAAGCACCTTTATCCTCGGAGTGTCCGGTAAAGTTAACAAGTTCAGCATCAATACCGAAAACTTACGTAACTAGTTATTTGAAGGATTTATTTACTGCTATACCAACTTAGGAGTTTATGTATTGAACGTTGAATTGACCAGGGAGCCCCTTTCAGTTCAAAGTTGACGCGGTTAAGGCGTCTTTGACATTCAGATGTCTGGTCAAAGTGATCTTGATCGTCAAATCGAACAATTAAGGGCATGTAAACTTATTACGGAAGACGAAGTTAAGGCGCTGTGTGCAAAAGCAAGAGAGATCCTTATTGAAGAAAGCAATGTGCAATGTGTAGATTCTCCAGTAACAGTAAGTTACGTTGGATTCAATAACCTTCCCTAGGTATGTGGTGATATTCATGGACAGTTCTACGATTTAATCGAATTGTTCAAGGTTGGCGGAGATGTACCGGACACTAACTATCTCTTCCTCGGTGATTTTGTTGACCGCGGATATCACAGCGTCGAAACATTCCTTCTTCTCCTCGCGCTGAAGGTAAATCATTTTCTGTGTATTCATTTGTATAGGTCAGGTATCCAGACAGAATCACACTCATACGAGGCAACCATGAAAGTCGGCAGATAACAATGGTTTACGGATTTTACGAAGAATGCTTGAGAAAGTACGGCTCAGCGATGGTCTGGCGACAATGCACTGAGATATTTGATTATCTATGCCTTTCTGCCATTATCGACGGAAGGGTAAGTAAATACAAAACATGCTTGAATACCGTTTGCGCACACAGAAGAAATCTGCAAGTTTTGCCACTGGAAATCCATTTCGCTTATTGTTATTAGTGCACATCTTACTGTCATGAGAAGTTTAACAGGCAAACCGAATATAGTGAGTATCGAAACTCAAGCTATGTCGTCCGTTAAATTTTTTGGTGTAGGTACAAATACGCTGTGTGGTAACACACTGTCGGAATAATTTGTCTGAACATAAAATCATACCTAGTTCCAAAAAAGTGGATACGCCATAAAATTAAGTGACTCTACAAACTGTTAAGTTCCTTTCTCATAACCCTAATATCCTTGATTCGATGCTATTGATAGGAGAGGCCCATAGAGTATCATTATATCCTTGTCAATTTATTAGTGTCAAATTGTGGGAGTTGAGATACTATAAAAAATTTAGATCAGGTTTCGGCGAAACTCTAACTTAGGGACGACCTTTGAACTAATCTTAAATGACCTTGATAATTATCAGCCAATCAGAAGACACTTAGTATAAAGTGAAAATATATGGTAAGTAATGAATTACAGTGAATATTCTTCTTTTACATGATTTAAGAGCTTGTTAAGGTTTGATAAAGGTCCAGAGGTTGGCTCGTCCCTAAATTAGTCTCGCCTAGATTTCTTATTGATATACTTCAGTATTAATGGCTTATTTATTATTTATTTATTTGAACACAAATATTGGCACGCAGGTGCATCAAATACATATGCGCCACACAAGTCAGCAAACTTGCGTGTTGGCTGTGGTACTGCCCGGGTGCTCAGACTGAAGCAGATGGTTTTCTTAGGAGGCCACATCCAGAGCCTTTGATCGGAAGGTCTTACCCACAAGGCAGTGGAGCAACGTAAGGAACTGCAGTTTCATGGTAACCGGTAACCAATAATTGGTTCATACGCCATTTGTTGCCTCATGATCCTAAAGCCAACCCATGTACACCTTTCGTTTGGAGTCAGGGTATCCCGGTCCTCGAGGTATATCTTCCACATCCACTGATCCGGTTCAAGAGCCGGAAATTCGCTTTTCGTCCTCTCAATTGCGTAAACAATAACCCCGTCGCGAGAAAGCAGTGAGTAGGACTTCCCTATCAGTTGCTGTATACGCGTGTCTATGTGAAAGCTTTTGGAGAGGGAGAGCTGACTCTCCCCACTCTTGACCGTGCCAGGGCATGTGAAGGCTAGGTTATGCCAACATATGTAATTGGATGGTTATTCTATGTTCGTAACTAAGTCACATACAATCATTACAATTTGTTTATCGTATTACTGGTCAAGTTTCCAGTACCCGTAGTTTATGTTTTCAATGCTTCAGATACATATCTGTTAACAAGTAAGGTATTTTCTTTAACTGAAGTCTGCAACTATGCAATGTAAATTCTCGTTTTGATGTGGGAAATGCTGTCAATCTGCATTTTTGTAGGGTCCCATGTCAATTATGACTATGTGATTCGTCCTTCAGGTTTCATATTTTTCGAACAACTAACTAACTCGATATTACTGTCGTATCGCTTCTCGTTTATGAAAACCACAGAACTGACATTCGTTTTTCATAATTTATAAATAATGTAATTCTGTTTGAGTTTATTTTCCTATCACTCAACTGGGAATAACATGGGTATCTCCATCAAATGAAAAGGTCTGATTTTTTGGATCCCGTTATCCCTTTTCATCTGCTAACGTATAAAAGTGTGATTTCTATTCTCGTGGATATCAATTTAAATATTTTAAATGTCTCGTTCAAAAAAGTATGTACAGTTTAATAATAAATGCATTTATGAATGTTAATTTTCTTCAATAAGATATTTTGTGTTCATGGAGGCCTATCACCTACAATTACAACATTGGATCAAATCCGTACCATTGATCGTAAACAGGAAGTCCCACATGATGGTCCAATGTGCGATCTTTTATGGTCAGATCCAGAAGAGACTGCTGGTTGGGGAGTGAGCCCTAGAGGTGCCGGCTATTTATTTGGTTCTGACGTTGTAGCTAATTTTAACCAAGTAAGTTAACTTCGTTTGCAGCACCTTAAATATTTTCTTTATTCAAAAAAGATTTAGCCATTAACATTAAATGTAAGAATTTATGGTTTTTACATATCTTAACAGCGCGTAAATTATGACTAAGCAGTGTAGATGTCGTAGTTGCTTCTTAGATTCTAGGATCAATAGCGAAACTCAAGTGTATTATTTCGTCAAGTATAAAACCCTACTTTTTTACACAGTAAATGGGCATTAGTTTAATTTTAGTACAACACAAAGCAGTATCACGTCTATCGTCAATCTCGCATAATTAAAATCTTCATGTTACTGATGTACAAAAACCTTGGTATAAAAAGCATTCATTTTCATGAAATAATGTTCGATATCAGAAGGGAGATGGCTAATAAGTATAACTGTACTGCTGCTACCGACTTCGAGACAGTCTAAACATGGATTTTAATTTTCAGACTTGCTTTGACCATAAAGTTGGTATTTTCTCACTGTTCAAGTCAACAATCAGTGATTTCATAAACTACTGTTATGTCTTAATCTGATTCCCGTTTCATTTTAAAACATACCACTATATTAGCCATTTTAGACCACAGAGGTGAACACACGTGGTATATATATCTGAATCCGGTCAGTCGATAAAAGTGCACAACTTCATTACCTTTCTGTAGTAATCAGTGGCTAACATCCCCGCTGCTTACTTATTAGTTTCATTTGGTGCAAACATTGTTTTAAAAGAGCCTATATGTTTTTCGGTCTCATATATCGTGTTTCACATCCTTAGATTAGTTTAGATCTGGTTGCTGTATAGTTTCTTTTCTTTTTACTGGCATGTCACCTGTTCCACGGGTGGAAAAAACTAAGCAGTTTTTCCGTATCCATGCATAAATCTTGTCAATTGCTAGGGCTGATGAAAACCCCCAACTAGTTGGAGTAATCAACACTGCAGCTAACTTACTATGGCCAAGACAATTAATAGGTTAACGCAAGATATCTATGAAACAATATTTCTGGATTTGAATGATGAGGGGTCAGGTCTCTTAAGCATAGAGCAAAACTGCTCTTACCGACGCGTTGTAGATCCGAACTTTTACAGCCAAACTACCAACACGAAGGTGCCAAAGGTGGCCCAGATTGGCACAAGTCGCTCTGGCTTTTACTTTACGTGAATTGTGGTGTGGCAACTCGAACTGATGTACGTACGTACGAAGTTCTACGTTGTTACTGACTGACTTACGTGAATTGGCCTCATCATCGCCATCACCGGCACTTATGCAGCTACCCGGATACACGGACTTTTCGTCTACTATCCGCTGACTACCCAGGGTGAGTGCAGGTTCAGGGTTCTCCCAGTCTTGTAAAAGTACTTCGCACTTGGAAAGTGCAAAGTACATGCCATACCTACGGACACTGCCAACTGATTAAGTGCGGATTGCATGGCTTGGGTATCATCTCACAGTATGACAATATCCGCATACTCATGGTTGAAAAGTCTCTCCAGGCAACAGATCCACACCACCATTAACTTCATTCATCACAACTGTTTCCGGAACGTCATCGATGGCAAAGTTGAAGAGAAATGGTGAGACCGGTCAACCCTGTCTAACGCCGCTGTTTGAATGGAACAGTGGTGATAGTTAGTTGTATGCGCTCGCTCTTCCTGAAGTGTTAGTATATAGGGCATTCAGGATGTTAATAAACTTCTTAGAAGCACCCTTCTTCAATGGATAATCCCAGAGAACAGTCTTGTCCAAGGAATCGAAGTTGGCCATGATGTCAAGTAACAAAACGATTATTGACCTGCAATAAGTATAGTGGTGTTCTAACATCTGGGAATGATGGTGAAGATATGTTCAATACATCCTCGACCAGAACGAAATCCAGCTTGCTCCTCGTGAGTCAATCTTGGACGCGATCGGAAGTAGACTTATCTCCCGATAGTTGTTGCAGAAACGACGTTAACCCTTTTTAAAGATAGGGACAACTATCACCTCATTCTACGATGTTAAAACACTAATGCCCAGACCTTTGTAAACAGCTCGGTCAGTTTCTTAACCAGAAAGTCGCCACTATCTTTAAAAAGGCCAAAGGTAAGTCATCTTGGTCTGGTGATTTGTGGCGCATCAGGAGTTGGAGTTCCTTGATCAGTCGTCACCGGTCATAATGGGAGGAACAGTCTGATCGGTGTCACTGGGGTAGCAGACCACTAGTAAACTGTAGGTGTTATTGATTGGCGATCCATCAGTTTTGCAAGTTGCTTCGCTCATCATACTTCATGGTGCCAGTGGCTCGGATAAATTGAGAGAGCTTCCTGCAGTTACCAGATACAGCAGCTGCTTTCAACTCATTAGCACGCTCCGACCATCAGGCTGCTCGGTCCTTACGCAACATTTGCATAATCTCGTTACGTAGCGATCTTCGTTTATCTTCAAACTAGCTGGAGTAGACCGACGTGCTTTGGCGAATTGTACGAAGCCTGTAGGAACCCAATACTTGTAGGCAGGACGTTTCGTGAAGTCGTACTTAACTTTTCTCACCGTTTTCATGGCGTCGTTCAATTGCAACGAATGCTTATCTATATTTTTCGGTGTGGTAGCTAGCCTTAAACCTAACTCGGTGTGATATTTAGTTGCAACAGAAGCTGTAACCAATTTGTTGATATCGATCCGTTTGGGACCTTAAGTATGTTGGCCACTGAAACGTAAGGTAAGCATAGCGCGAATAAGGGCATGATCAAAATTCAGATTTCTCCAAAAGGAGCAGCAGTCTTGTACACCACCATGCCAGCAGTTGATCGCTATGTGACCAATCTGAGTTTAGGTTTAAGAATGCAGAGAGATGACACCAGGTAGCAAATCGGCGATGACTGTGCCAGTAGTTAGTGGTATCCAGAAACAGGTTGTTGTCTGCGTACAGTTGCAGTAGACAATCATCGTTATCTGAACTGCGACCAACAAGTCCCCATCGGCCATCTAAACAATTCGCTTCGGTGCCTAGACGCCCTAACTGAACATTCAAGTCTCCGGTTAGTACTTATACCTTTGGTTCGAAATCAGGGTTTTCTAACTCCTCTAAATAAGATTTTCATATCCACCAACCCGGCGTAAGCGATGGAAGTCACTTTTCATTTCCGTGAATAACAACCCCATCGCTGAGTGAAGGCAATGAGTAGGACTTCCCTAGCAGTGGCTATAAACACATGACTATATAAGAGCATATCTAAATGGAGAGGTGATTCCGAACCTCTTATATACTTGGGTATTTAGAGGCGACTGGCTTCGTAGTGGAATGTCTTAAGCTTATGATTGCTGACGACTTGGATACAAGTTGGGAAGCCATTCCATCTAGTTGTATTTCGATAGCTGCATATTATTAATATACATCATGCGGCGCTTGTATCTCAAAGCTCAAGTACAAAACTATTTTTAGCTAATCTTGGGAAAAACACGTGATTCATAGGGTGTTCATGTTGGTTTTGAAGCATAAAGTAGCAACTTGACTTTGACACTGGTTGGTTTATTTTAAGTATGAAACAAAGCTATCCAAATGATAATTCTGCATCAACAGTCATAATCTTGGTAAACTTGAAAAATGTTGGTCGATTTTTACCATCAATTATGCACATTACTGTAAAGTATACCGACATCAAACCTCTTGATATTTCTTAAAATAAAATAAAGTTATAGTTTCAGAAATTGCAATCAAATTTCCAAGTTCATGATATTATTCATATTATCACATAACAAACAAATGACGATTGGTAATGTAGAAAAGATAAATTCATGAGTTTTTGTTTCATTTTGATGCATCTTCAATGTGTCTCACCTTAGTTGCTACCATAACGTGGTGGTCGGGTTCGTCTCATGATGACTCAGTAGAGCTATATTGATCGAGAAACTTGTTCTTTTAGGTCCTACCATGCTAAGCGATAGCTTAATGGCTTTAAGGTGTTCGACTTTTGGCCGCCAAGTTCCAAATTCAAGCCCCGCTCCATCTACTTCAATCTGGGCAACCAAATAGTATCATTAGCCTCACACATATAGATTGTGGTTCGTTCCCGAATCATCAAGTGTATACAGTCTTCCCACAACGAAAGGGGGGTTTAGACAAGGTCAACCCTTGAAATATTTGAATGACAACTACTCAGTATTTGTTTTACTGAGAGAAGTACATATTATGCCATACGAAAATAGTATATATATATGGTTCGTAGTGTGAATAAGCTGACCAAATCAGATACTTTTGAATTGAATAGTAGAGTTTAGTTATCTATAGTTCACATAATATTAAAGTTTCTTTAGTTGTTGGCTATAGTACTCTGATCATCATCCTTTTGCAGTCACAATATTACAAAGAATATTTTTTTACCATCTGTTCATCATAGGTTTTTCTTAGCTTTGACTAGATATATGTTGTTATCAATCGGTAATATTTCATTATCTTTTTGTGTATATATATACATTCTAGTTGAATCGGATCGATTTCATTTGTCGTGCACATCAATTAGTTATGGAAGGTTATCGTTGGCATTTTCATGAAAGTGTTCTTACTGTATGGTCTGCTCCAAATTATTGTTATCGTTGTGGTAATGTTGCCGCTATTTTACGTTTAAATGAAAGATTAGACAAGGAATTTTCCATATTTGAAGCCGCACCACAGGTAATTCATATACATATCTATATTCCACTGTTATATTACATACAAATCGAACTCTAGTCATTGTAGGATACAACGATTCAATTTTATTGATCGATAAATTCCGTATAATCAACACGTTTAATGGGTAACAATAGCAGTACGCTTTTTTGTTTTGATGTAAAGTATTTTGAAGACTAGTCAATCAATTTATAATATGATTCTGAAAGTAGTCATAGGCTATGGAGGGGGAAAATGTTGGTATGCATCGAAATGTTTTAGGCATTCACATTCAGATACTGATTTTTTGACAGATGTACTAGGGTTATAGACAATTATTATTATTTAAACACATAAAAATTGGTACAAGGAGGCACCAAATAGGTATGCGCCACATAAGTCACTCTATTTGTGTGAGGGCTGAGATACTGCACGGGTGCCCAGACCGAAGCAGGTGATTTTCTTAGGGGACCACACCCCGAGTCTTGGACCTAAAGGTCTGACCCACAGGGCAATGGAGCATCGTGAGGAGATGCAGTCCCATGGTAGCCGGTGACCAACGATTGGTTCATACGCCATTTGTTCCCGTAGGATACTGGAGCCCATGTGCACCATTGGTTTGGAATCCGGTTAAAGCGCCGGACATTCGCTTTTCGTCTTCTCAATTTCGTAATTAACACCCCCGACACGAGAAGGCAGTGAGTAGTACTTCCCTGGCAGAGGCTGTATACGCGTGGCCGTGTGAGAGCGTTTCGAGAGGGAGGGCTGGCCCACCCCACTCTCGGCCATACCAGGGCATTTGGGGGCTATAGACAATAAATTTTCCAAATAAAATTTCTTAAGATATTTCTCATATAAATTCACTAGGTACTAAGTGTTTGTTACTACTATCAATTTTGTGATGAATACCATCTTGGTTAAAACGATGAATAGAATGCTACTGATCATTATATAATGTATATTGATATGATGCAATCAACTGATAATTATTCACAAGCATTAGTTACTAACACAAGTTCCATAACATAATTTATATTAGTAAAAATGGCATACAAGATATATGTTTATAGGTCACCGAACATATGGGGAATACAAATTGTTTTTTTTAGTTTATTCACGTGACATTCAAAGGATGGTCTGATAATAAGACCTAATTATTGTTTATCACTCTACATTTCTCATGAAATAAGATAGTAACTGTTTATGACAATGTTTTTTTTTTAAATTTACTTTACGGCTGCGAAACGTGACCATTAAAAGTTGAAGATATTCGTAAGCTACTAGTAATTGACCACAGATGCCTTAGAAATATTGCTCGCATCTACTGGGATCACCGGGTAAATAATAGTGAGGTTAGACGCAGGGTATTAGGGAATGATGGTAAATCAGTTGATGAGGTTATGAATTTTCATCGACTGAGATGGTTAGGCCACGTGTTGCACATGTCTGAACACCGATTACCACGATACGCAACGCTAACTGGTGTTCGGGATGGTTGGAAGAAAGTTAGGGGCGGCCAAACCAAAACGTTGCATCAGACCTTTAAGTCACTAACTTCTAGTCTGAGCCATGTTGGTAGATACAAACTACTTGGTTGGGGTCCGCGTGACTATCTTAATCAATGGTCCGAGACTGTGACAAGGCTCAGAATCGATCACGATGGCGTAGGTGTATACACCGTTTGTCTTCCCTTAAACTAAGAGATTAAAATCGCTTCATATCTTTCTTTCTACTAACTAATTCTTTCTTCCTGTACTATATCCTTATATGCAATCTTATATTACACCATTGAGTTAACTGCTTCTATGAATCCAGTGTTCGTCTTGCTGTGGTAATGAGGTGTGGCAACTTAGACCGATACATATATGTGCCTGGCCCTACGTTGTAGCTGACTGTTTTTTTTTAAAATTTGGTTTCTCTTTATAAATCATGATGCTACTGATTTAAATCTCATCAAAGGAATCTTGTGTCACTACTTGATTTTCACATCTCCATCGATCCCTCAATCTATGTGGAAAACTTGCTACATTTATAGCTTCTAAGGTCTTATTAGTTGTCGACTCAGATGAAAATTAAAGTGCCTGACATCTATGCTCTACCATATACATTTTTATGTACTCGCTTGGTTCTACGTTGTAGCTGACTGACTCGTCTTAATATCACTCTAATTGTGTAAAGGTTGCTCATACTCTTCAGCTTTGTTGACAGCGACTAATCTTTATCACCCTTTCAGTTAGTGCGCTTCGGTTTAGATTTAAAATAAGATCATTTAACAGGGTATTTTTCATGAAAGGATAATCAGTTGATAAAATATCCCAATGACTATTGTTAACGAATGAATAATTTAGTATAAAAACTGAACCTCAAATTTCAACTGATTGAAGTAGTACGAGTATAAGTTAGTTATCAAGCAATTAATAAAGATCAGAGGGAAACCGATAAGATTGCAACTGTGTCCATCATCTCAAGTGTATTATTCGTAATAGGGTGACGTATCAAACTAGTTTCTAGTTATTTGCCACATCATATCAACTTGGAAAAACTTGTCTACTGGGTGACCCAGCCGCTCGTAGTTACCGATACGTCGACTATGTTGTTGACTAGAATTGTAAACCCGTTTCTCATGGCATCTCTACAATCCCAATGCACTTTCTTTTTGCATCAACTGATTAGCTACTTGTGGTTGGAAATTCATGTATAACAAGTTTATGTAGCTCTGAAAGTGCTATAATCCAAGTCATTATAATTAGTCGTCCTTCACATGCAACAACTGTTACTTGTAGAATTTTAGGAATCACGACACATTGATTATGTTCAGAATGTTAGACAACAGTTAATCGGCAACATTGTTATAACTGGCAGTCGTTACTGATTTGTATTTCGTGTCAAAATTACAGCTCGATGATGCTGTTACCCAACATTTTATTTGAATGGTCCTATCGACTGAGGTTCTTAATTCATTGTACCGGGGATTTTTTGACACTAAGAAACACAGCTTTTTCTGTCAGGAGTTCCTCACACGATCTATATTAGAGAGTTTACATGTCGCTTAAAATCTATCTTTATCACCCTTCTGCTTGGTCGGAGTAGATTAAAGTAACATCAGATAGAGATATCCATTTCACATTTTTCCTCTTCGACCGATGTAAGGTGTACCAGTCATTAACCGTTTTATCAAGCATCGATCTTTCATAACAAGTTTTTACGACATTCAAGCAGGTAACAATAAAAGCCCCTACTTCATTGGTTGGTATAATTCGAAAAAAAAACTTTGTCTCCAAATCATTTTCTATAGCTTACTCCCGAGTTTTGGGGCTCCATGTCCCGTGAATTAGGCCACACATAGACGTCTCATGCTTTACAAATAATGTAACCCTTATTGTATAAGAAGGGTATCCTGCTAGAATTTATAGCTAGAAGAATTTCTGTAGATTGCTTGGTAATAATGGTCTTCATTTTTTATCATAACTTTATTACAGGATGTTCGGAGTATACCAGCTCGTCGACCAATACCAGACTATTTCCTTTGAAGCATATGAAACAAAGTCATTTTGTTCTCAATGATGATGATGATAATTACTGTTATTATTTCCCTTGTTTATAAGCCCTTCTCACCCCCCTTTTGTCAATTTTTGTAATTTTACTTCTATTTATCAGTGTGTTTTATAAAATGTATTTCTTCCCCCCTCCTTCTCAATACTCAACTATTCCAAGATTCATTCATGCATTGTTTACAACTTTTTTGTTTTGTTTTGTTTTTTTGATACCCACAGTCAAACAAATTGCATTCTACTAAGTTTTTTTTAATTATTAAATGTGAAGGGAGTTTCTATTTGTGTATAACAATATCCATTTGGAAAAAGAGAAAGTTTTCTTTAAAGAAAATAACGTATATATATATATATTATTGTTCATTAGATGTAAATTATACTGAATATGCAAAGTATAAATAAAAGAAAAGAAAAAAAGTTAATGTCTCAGGGAATCATCATCTGTCTTTTTTTTCTTGTTGTTTCATTTTACCATTGTGCATTTCTTAATTCAGCAACTAATTTAATAAAATCACGATGACTTGCATAAAGTTGTAGATCAGAATTAATATCTGTCCAACGTACAGCATCTGCATCATCACCTATTTGATTATGATAATGTAGGGGGGGATTAAGAAAGATATTTTCTCTTTTATTTTGCTAGTAAATCTGTTTGTTTATCAATCAGTAATAAATGCAAGTTATATGGACCGTTGGAAGAGGGGGGATATTTATTTTTAGAAGGGGTTTGTGGAGATTTTTAGAAATTTCCACAGATTGAAATCATGAGTCAGTTGAAGCTAGGCCACCATTGAAAACCTGGAAGCACTGGACGGCCGTTTCGTCCTAGTATGGGACTCCTCAGCAGTGCGCATCCACGATCCCGCACCCGAGGAACTCGAGCCCAAAACCTACTGGTTCTGCGCGCGGGCACTTAACCACTGAACCGGCTGGGGTCCGATGGTGTTAATGTCTAACTTCAACCAATCCACGAAGTTGCGCCACCATATACCATTGTCTTCAGTGAGCTTATATCTCACAACAGACCTGGTTGTACTCCACTGGTAACGGCTTCCCACTAGAACTCCAGGAGTATCTCTTGAAGTCAGTCACTAGTAAGCAGATGATTATTATCCTACTGCGTACCACTAAGGATGAGTGTAGGTATAAGCTTCTGCCAGTCTCGTAAAATTACTTTGCACTTAAAAGGTGCAAGGCACATACTGTCCTTGTGGACACTGATTGACGACTGACGAAGTGCAGATTACGTGAAATCATCTCAAAGCTGAAAGATCTATCTGCAGGTAACTGACCCGCACCATTATCTATTTTTGTCAGAGCTATTTGCAGAATGCGATTGACGGCAAAGTCGAAGGAGAATACTGAGATCGGATAACACTGTCTAACCCGACTGCTTGGATGGGGCAACAGAGAGAGGTGGTAGTGAAGAGGCTTCAAGATGTTAATAAACTCTCCAGATGTGTTGGAGAAGGGGACATGCCTGTGGCTAAGCGTAGTGCAGCGGCAGCTCAGTGGTTCGACTTCCAGCCACCAAGTCTCGGGCTTAAACTCCGCCCCTCTACTGTGGTTCGAGCAACAGGGTGGTATTACTACCTCACAACTACGTATATGGGTTAGTGAGTGAAAAATAACCAAAATTGAACGGTAGGTCTCATTCAAACAACAATGTGGTTAAGTTTAAATTAGCATATACATGCGCTTGGGATGGAAGCTGCTGCTACACAGAACACATGTGGTTATTGTTGAATAAGTAGTAAGCATAGTGCTAACAGGCTGAAAATCAACTAAAAAACATTAGTTTATGAAATATTTCCAACGGCCAGGATTTTTGGAACGGGTTTTTTAAAATATTTGAAAATGAGAATCAGATTACGAAAGCATTGTCAACGTAAACCCTCTGAACCTTATCACTAACCCTCAGTCATATACATAGTCCATAAAAGAATGATCAAGATGTAAATGAAGAAGTTTGACAGTGTTTTAATCACGGTATTTTTCTAAACACCACTTGACTGATGTATACACAGTGTATGGAAATGATCACCAAACTTACATCCCAGTGGAAAAAGTCTCACGTATATTTTATGACAACGCTATTCGTTGAGGGTAGTGGACATAGGATCGGAAGTTGAATTTAGGAAAGAAAACTAACGGTAAATCAATGTTTAACAGACTACCGCTTAAGTGCTATGCTATTATTGTAGATATTCTTTAACAGGTTGAATACGATAGTTTGAAACTAAGAATAACATCAAGAATAAATAAAACTGAACATGATCTACCTGCAGTTAATGGAAATAACGCTAGACAATCGCCAACTTCATCGTGAAAATTTACTGCCACAGTTTCCATCCATGCATTATCTGTATTACGTGGATCATCCACATAACCCTTATAAATCTATATTAAGGTATACATTAATGAGAGATTAAAAGAAAACCCTGTAAATTATGAATATTTATCATCAGTGAATAATTTACAAAATGATAATGATTCAAAATACTTTGTTGAAAAAACATTTGGTAAATTACTGGTTAAATCTTATTACAAGGTTTATATTGGAAGGGACTTTGTGGACATTATAGTAACTTTAATAGTTAAGATCATGAGTCAATTGAAGCTAGATCACCATGGAAAACCTGGAAGCACTGGACGGTCGTTTCGTCCTACTGTGGGACTCAGTGGCAGTGCGCATCTACGACCCCACCTCGCTAGATTCGAACCCAGGTTTATTGATATGTCCTCACATGAAATTATACAGAAGAGAAAGGCGTAGTATGTTGGGGATGTTTAGACGGCTCATATGCTGTTGGAAGGTTTGTGGAGGATTTTGTGTGAATGAGAGGATTATTTGTCTAGACAGATTGATTACCCACATATTCCTCTCTGCATTAGTCTAGTATCGTACATAAACGCATAGCTTATGTAAATTTACTGTCTAACTTTCGGCCTCTAATGAACTGTTAGTCTGTGTAAATGTTAGGAAACATTGAACAGTCGAACATAACAATTGAATATCTAGTTAATATAAACAAGTGTCAGTTGGGAAACATCTATTCTAGATGTTTATAACTGAGTGGGCATCATCAAATCAAATTTGGTCATATTCAGATAATAACAACCAGGAATTTGAACTCTATTCCCACACAGAAGATTTATGATTTTGTTCACTGACAGGCCACAGTATACGTAAAAAATCGATTATTTAGGCAAGAGAATTTCATCCGGTATAATCAAATTAGAACACTAGAATAAGCGACTAAGTCATCTTAATTTATTTCTCAACATACTATAAATACTAAATCTTAATATATGCAAAATTAAGATATTTGCTTAACAATTTTTACGACTAATGAACTTATAACTTCTGAGTGGTAAAATATCTAAGATCAATTAATCTATAATTAACTTTAAAATAACTTCATTTACAGTCAGTCAGTTACAACGTAGGATCAGGCACATTTATGCATCTGTCCAAGTTGCCATATCTGATTAGCACAACAAGATGAACATCAAATTCATAGAAGTAGTTAATTCAATAGTGATAATATATAAAAGAAAGGTTGCATATAAAGAGAGAGTATAGGAAGAAATAGTCAGTTCGTAGAAAGAAATATATAAAGCAATTATAATCTCATAGTTTAAGGGAAAACGGAGAGTGTATATACCTACACCATTGTGATCGATTCAGAGACATGTCACCAAGAGTCTCCAACCATTGGTTACGATAGTTCTGCGGATCCCAACCAAGTAGTTTGTATTAAACAACATGGCTCAAACTAGAAGTTAGTGACTTAAAGGTCTGATGCCACGTTTTGGTTTAGCCGCCTCTACTTTCAAATTCTCAACGATTCGCTTAGTCTACCACAAATAGAACCAACAACCGATGATCTTATGGACGGATGTGCTTTGTTTATATTTAGCAGCTTCTAGTTTCTTTATAACGCTTTATGTTAGCTAGCTTAACTTATCAGAGTAAATAATAGTTTGGCATATGTAACATAATCCTAACCACTTGAGCTGATCAAGATCCATAAACCTACCAATTGAATTATCATCTCTATCAAGTGCCCTCCAAACTTGATGTCAGAATTATTCACTTTATCCACTATCAACAGTGGATTGAAGGTAGTGTTTATAATCAGATGTATTAACAGATAAACCAAATCTTTATTTTTTCAAAGACTATCCTTCACAATAGTAAACTAAACACAATAGACTGTTTGTTATGTAGTATTTATATTTATTTATTTGAAAACAAAAATATTGGTACAGAGGAGCAACGAATACATATGCGCCATACAAGTCACTTGAGTTGTGTATGGGCTATGATACCGCCCGGGTACCCAGACCGAAGCAGGTGGTTGTCTTAGGGGACCACACCCCGAGCCTTCGACCTAAAGGTCTGATCCACAAGGCGATGGAGCATCGTGAGGAGATGCAGTCGCATTGTAGTTGGTGACCAACAATTAGTTCATACGCCATTTGTTCCTTCAGGATCCTGGAGCCCATGTGCAATAATGGTTTGGAATCAGGGTTTTCCAACTCCACTAGGTGGATCCTCTGTATGCACCAGCCCGGTTAAATGGCCGGATATTCGCTTTTCGTCCTCTCAATTTCGCAAACAATACCCCCCGCCGCAAGTGGGCAGTGAGTAGGACTTTCTTGTCAGTGGCTGTAAATGCGTGGCCATGTGAGAGCATTTGGAGAGAGGTGATTCTCCCCACCCTCGACCCTGCCAGAATCGATTTATTTGGATCTGCACTAAAAAAATGACATAAGTCAAGTGAACTCTCCTGTTTATATAGACTTGAACAATTCATCAACTATTTAACCAACAGATTAATGATGTGTGACGAAAATTTTAAACTAATAAAACTCTACTGGTAGAGATCATGAGTCAATTGAAGCTAGACCACCATGAAAAACCTGGAAGCACTGGACAGCCGTTTCGTCCTATCGTGGGACTCTTCAGTAGTGCACATCCACGATCCGGCCTAGCGAGATTTGAAACCAGCACCTACCAATCTTCCAGGTTTTCCATGATAGTGATCTAGCTTCAATTGATTCATAATCTCAACTATTATAAAATTACTATAATATCCATCTATAGAAAACCCTTTCTGATATTAAAAATTTTATAAAACATCATAGTAAACAACTAATCAATATAAAATACAAACAAACAAACAAATAAACACACACACACAACTATCAAATATTTTAAAAAAGATTAGTTAACTCATAGTACATAATCAACTCTATTTATCTAAATAGAAAGAACAATATATCACTCTCCCTCTGTCTCTCTCTATGATATAGATTAGTATATGGAATAGCTTATTATTATTATCACAAAAAGTACATTTAAATACCAGAAGAAAATAAAAAAATAAAATTTTTTTTTATTAGTTTCGACAGAAAAACTTTCATTCATTT